AATTTCAACAGAGACAAAAATTGAGGTTGTGCCTCTGACATTCTTCAATGCCAGGACTGCCTCTGCCTTACCCGGCTCCAGCCAAAGGACGGTACAGTAAGGACGGCCTCCCAACCATGGCTCACACAAAAAGAAACCACTGACTACAACAGCTGCTCACAAGAGTGTGTCCCCAAGAGGGCTGAATAGGCCTCACTGTCCCAAGGCTGGTGCTCAGGCACTCAGAGGAATCAGTCATTATCATAAGTCCGCTGGCCACCTGATTCACAAACCCCCTTCCAGCAGGTTTAAGAAATTGCTCCTGACGTCAAGAAACAGACTTGCTCTGAGAGTGCAGGAGGAAAATGAGGCCCATCTAGTTGTCTCTGAAAGGCACCAACCTGTGTGCTACCTGTGCCAAACGTGTAACCTTTATGCCAAAAGGGATCCAGCAAGCACGCTGTGTACATGGAGATCGTGCTTAGGAATCTACTATGATGAGAAACATTTCATTCTAAAAACACACACATTTTCCTTCTCCTTGCTATTGATAGTTCTGAAAGTTAGAATCTACCCTCCCCCAACCCCCACATGGTGCCAAAGGTACTTAAGTATGTGAATGCAAGTGGAAAAATAGGGGATAGAACCAAGCAGTGGAAGTTTTTCCATTTATATATATTTGTGAATTTTTAATAGAATCGAGGAGATATAAAGCATTAATGTAAGTCAAAAGTGAAAGCATTAATATAGGTCAAAGTGTTTTAGTAAAATGTTTTAGCAGCTGAATTTTGTAGCAATATAAACATGTTAAATTATAAATAAATTTGTTAAAGTTTTGTATTATTAAAAAAAACCTAGTAAATTTTTTTTTGGGGGGTGGGGGAGGTAGGGTAGGAAGGGGGTGGGTAGGAAGAAACAATGTGGTTTGGTCCTTACCTTTAGGTGCTCAGGACCATTCCCGGCTCTGTGTACTCCTAGAAGGGGTTCGGGGATTGTATGTGGTGCTGGGAAACTGAACCTGGGTCAGCACAAGTGGGTTAAAACCAAACCCACTATACTATTTCTATGGCCCTACGTTTCTTATTGATGATGTCAGTGGGAGGAGACCCAAAGCCAAAAGGAGATAAAATTCAGTATTGTAACATGCCTAATTTCATCTTAGGTGGAAAGAACCAAATAGAGATTCAATTCTGTTTTTCTCTTCCATATAAAATCTTTCCTAGAGACCTAATGAAGTACACTATAGATGGTGTTTACTTGCAGTCAACAAATGCATAAAAACAAAACCCAAACCTTAGCAAACCCCCAAAACAGCCCAACCCTTACCACCTCCAAACAAACCAACAAACAAACAAAAACCAAAAATCCAAGAAAACAGAAGAGGTACTTTATGTAAATCCAATGTGGATGACTTTAAGCCCATCTGATAAAAGTGTTGAAAACTGTAAATAATCTAATTCCATTAAATTTATTTAAATTAAGTATATGCTTAAATTTTACACAAAACCTGCATTTTTCTTCAAGGAAAAGTTGGCGGTTTTTTACTATTTTTTCTCTATTACTACCATAAAAAATATAGAATAATATTGTCATTTAAGGAAAAAAAAAAACATCTGTTTTTCATATGACTTTCAAAAGAAGTCTGAGGCTCTCAAGCTTTCCCCCCTTTTTAAAGGATTTTACACACCAAATTTGTGCTTTTCTGACTTACGCAAGATGTTACATAATACAGTAATCCCATGGAGGCCACTTCAGAAACTCTCCCTCTCTTTTCCCCACAGAAACCACGAGGGATTTCCCTCACGCCCTGTTCCTGTCACTCCTCTCTGCTTTATCACCATGACCCCTGCAGCAACTTGGGAGATGAAGTGATGGTGCCAGGCCTCTACAGGCAACACAACCCTGTCACCATGGGGACCAGAGAGCCCTTTCTCCATACTGGGGGAAGGGAAATAGTGATGAGGGCCAGTGCTATGGTTCTTTCCCTTTTCTTATCCAGAAGGGTTCATTCTACCATTCATTCATCCCTCCACTAATCTCATGCATACTCATCTCCACCAAAAACAATTCTTCTCACTCTCAAATGCCAGTCAAGAGAAAATCTGGGGAGAAAAATCAGGTTACAAAGTAGATCATGACCTATTTTCTAACAAAGACTATCTTATCTAAAGCCCTTTACAGATGTTATCCAGAGCACACTCCTGTTCTCAATTATCACCTGGCTTGCTGTTTCTAACACGGCCGTCTAAGATTTGGGTCTCCTAGTTAATACTTTTTTGAGGAAAGTAACATTTAGATTTTGAAAATAATCTCATTTTTTAAGTCAACTATTTAAAAATAAGATTAAGAAAAAGTTTGGGGGCCACACCCAGCAATGCTTAGGGGTTTATTCCCGGCCCAGGCTCAGGAGACCATATGGAATGCCAGGGATCGAACCATCACAGAAGGCCCGCAAGCAGGGAAAGCACCCTACCCACTGTACTACTGCTCCGGCCCCATACTTCAAAGTTCTTCCAAGACACTGAGGGGCAAAAGTAGAGCTGCCTCAGCTGAAGAACTTTTTGTTTTGTTTTTGTTTTTGGGTCACACCCGGCGATGCACAGGGGTTACTTCTGGCTCATACACTTAGGAATTACTCCTGGCGGTACTCAGGGGACCATATAAGATGCTGCGAATCAACCCAGGTCGGCTGCATGCAAAGCAAATGCCCTACCTACTATGCTATGGCTCCAGCCCAGTTGAAGAACTTTTAATAAGATCAGAAAGGCCGGTTTACAAACTCTAATGCAGAAACATTAGAAACTTGAAAGATCCCAGTTTCTCACACCATTGTTCTATGTCTCATTCTCTGATCCCCAACTCTCAATTCCAAGCCAAAGTAGCTGGGAGTCCCCCAGCTTCTGATGAGGGGCAGTAAGAGAGGACATTTCTAGTTTCTACCGCTAGCTTTATTTGGGCCAAAGCCATGTTTCTAACACTTCAAAATGAGAAAAAAGAAATGCTAAAGGAAAAGGAAAAAAAGGAACTCCAAGTGATCCCTTTCTCAGCAATAGTATTATACCTGATCGCAATGCACGGCAGGCAACTGCTGGCTAGTTTGGGAAATATAATGACATGTCTAAGGAGAAACTGGATTGAAAATTCAAAATAGGGGCTGGAGAGGTAGTACTGCAGGGAGGACTCCTCTTGCACACTGCTTACCAGGGTTGAATACTCGACACCTCCTATGCCCCCAAGTCAGGAATGATCCCTGAGCTCAGAGCCTGAGTGCAGCTGGGAGTGGCCCAGAAACAAAACTGAATAATATTTTACGATACTTAAAAGAAGAATTTAAAACTAAAATTTTTATGATTTTTAAACACAGAAAAAAAATTTATATTTAATAAAATCTGGTAAGTGTAATGATAATAAAATGAAATTACATCCCAACCAAACCAAGCTGGGCTCAGAGAGAGAGTACAGGGGTTCAGGCGTTTGATCACTGGCCCTGCCTGTCTTCCCCTGGAGCAGAGCCAGTTGGAGCTTCTTGGCACTGGTCGGTGTGGCCCCCAAACAAAAACAAACCCCACCAACCCACCAAAAAACTCCAAGCAAATACAGAACAAGGACCAAGAAAAGTAAACACTTTTCAAATTAAGTACTAGTTCCTTTCTGAAATATATTTTGTCTGAATCTATGACAGTAATGATAGAGATCATACAAGAGCAATAAACAGGCAATGGACAGTCTGGGGTCTCAACAACATAATATTTTGAGGTCTTGTTTTTCCACTGAAGTCTCCTCTTAATCACTGTTGATCCCTCGGTTCCTCAAAACAATATATTCTCTCTTCTGTTTATGGGAGAAAAACATGGCTCATATAAGCAAAATCCATCAGATGGAGCTCTAAAGTCTGATTAACTTTAGAACAACTATTTTTTTAAAAATGATTTTGCTGATACATGGTTTTTTAATTTCTTGTTTCATTAAACTTGACTGGGTCTCTGTTTCATGGTAGAGTATCAGCACCAAATATCCAAATATTTACTTCTTAGGTGGATTTTATTGTCTCTTCAGAGAAAAGACTGTGCAGATAAAATGTAAAAAAGCAGACTAGTAATAAACACATCTGAACTGAGCTACTTGTCACAAACTTACAAGTCAGTATGAAATAATTTAAGACAGTGGTTCTGAAGTGTTGGTCTGTAGACCATCCACAGGTGTAGAAAAGCTGAAACTGAATGACCAAGTACTGGAGTAGACATAACCACCAGGCTGTGCGCCAGTACGAACATAAGTGCTTGTCTGCAGGTATATAAGGGCTGAGGAAGACTCACTTAAGAAAGAGAACGTGCTTTCTAGATATAGTATCAAGTTTTCATGAATTATCAATTAATTATAAAAGTTTTGGGGATGAGAAAAAAAGACCTATTTTTTCTGTATAAAGGCACAGGTGTAATGTTTCTAGTCCTGCTTATATTTTTCATATTATATAGTATTCTAGAAAGAAAACCACAAAAGTAAAGTGCTAATATACTGGGTATCTTTAAATGGTAGAATGAGGGATGATTTTTCCTATCTTTCTACTTTTCTGTTATTTCCAAGTTTTTAACAACAGGAGAATATTACTTTTGAACTTAGTCTATTTTATAGAAATCTGTGTATCAGATAACATAAACGCAATGCAAAAGGAGGTGTACCAGAGCCAAAGAGATAGCACTGTGGATAGTGCACTTGCCTTGCACGTGATCAACGAGGTTCAACCCCTGGCACCCCATAATGTCCCAAGAACACGGCAAGAAATGATCCCTGAGCACAGGGCCTGGAGCACCACTGAGTGTGGCCCAACAACTGAAAACAAAAGAAAACGTAAGGGTGGTGGGGTCAGGGAGAGTTTTCTTTTCATCCAGATTTTTAAATGCATTCTTAGGTTGCCTAAACTTTATGAAGTGTACAGACTGGCCTTGAGCAAAAGCTGCAGCAAGAGTAGCAGTAGTAGGAGTGATGCTTTTCCTGGAGGAGTAGTAATAGTCAACTTTTACCTGTTCCTTTCCGTGCAAGCTCCATATTCCACGGAGGTTTGGTGGTTGGTGTGCTGTCACCACCCGACAAGTGCTGGGGTAGTAGAGAAGGCCTGGAGCTAGCTGGCCGATACTTAGAGAGCCCTTGAACGACAAAGGGGTGATATACAGCAAAGTATTTAAAAGATGATATTCATAGTACTATAGGAGAAAAAGTCACAGCCATAAGAAAAATGTGGCATAAACTGGAATTTTTATTTTTTAATTTCTATTCGCTGTACAAATGACCAGTATGACATAGAAAAATGGTAAGTCATAATGAATTGCATCTTAACATGAATTTTAGTTAGTGAGAAAAAAATAAAGCAAGTCATTGTGTATAAATCATTTCAATGAAATTCAAAACTAACATGCAAGGCGCTGGAGAAATAGTGTACAGTGAGCAGGCCTCTTGCCGCACGCTGAGCTTGTGGAGCATGAACTCAGTCCAATGAGCGATCTTTGAAGTATGCTAAGTACTTTTAAAGAAAATCACTATTTTTGTAGGGTTATTTTGTCTGCCTGTTTGTCTCTGGGCCACACTTGGTGGTACTCAGGGCTTATTCCAGGTGCTAGATTCCTCCTGATGGGAATTAGGGGACCCTATGGGCATTGAACCTGTGATGGCCCTACCAGGTGGGTAGGGCACTTTCCTTGCCCTACCCACCGCACTATCTCTCCAGCGCCCCCCTACAAATACTTTTAAATGTAGTCCTTTGCTGGGTGAGATACTCTCGGTAGCTTGCCGGGCTCTCCGAGAGGGGCGGAGGAATCGAACGGGTTGGCCATGTTGGCTGTGCACAAGGCAAATGCCCTACCACTCTGCTATTGTTCCAACATGGCCGACCCGAGTTCGATTCCTCCTCCCCTCTCGGAGAGACCGGCAAGCTACCGAGAGTATCTCGCCCACAAGGCAGAGCCTGGCAAACTACCATGATGTATTCGATATGCCAAACACAGTAACAACAAAGTCTCCAATGGAGACGTTACTGGGCCCGCTCGAGCAAATCGATGAACAACGGGAGGACAGTGACAGTGACTGAGTCCTTTGCTGATATGTTCTAATCTGATATAATCTATTATATTTACGACTAAAACTCTGAAAATAAAGCAACACCTTAGGACGGTATTATGAGGCTTCTGCCCGTTACCCCAGTGACCGCTGTACCTTGTACATGAATCTTACCTGGAGTTGATGGTCTTTCAAGCATATTCAAATGATGGGAGATGAATGCCTGACTATCATGCACAGTATCCATGTCAATCTCCTCTTCATCTTGAGAATTTGAAAACTACTCAAGATAAAAAAAGGAAAAAAGAGCCATCATGTCACTCTGTATTTGGATCTTAGCTTGTGGGAAAAATGGTAGCGGAGACACCATAGGATGCAGTTCCCAAAAATCTTCAAAGTGATCTTTAGAGTAATCATCTTTTCTCAAAAAGCATTAAGAAATGGAAAATACCCCAGCCTCCAACAGGAGCTGACTGGCAATTACTGAAAGCGTACGACACTACTAACATCTACTCCTAAATCACGAAGAGAAATTCCTGTGATAAGATTGTGTACACGGTGGAGTACGTGTAACAGAGGTTAAACTGTTGGTGGGGGTGTCCTAGCTGGGTACTGGAGTTCTTTTATGATTCGCTCTGACCCAGGTGTTTCTGCTGAGGAAGGATAATTTCAAGGATTCAAAAAGATTTTAAAGAAGGTGAATATCCTACACTACTTAATACAGTTTTAAATCTGTATTTCTTACTCTGATTTTGAGTTTAACTTTACACTATGGTCACTGTTTTTGATGGGTTCTAGTGGGGATCCCAGTGGTGTGTCAGCATTCCTCTTCACTCTCTGCTGGAAGCTGATCTATTACATGATGCTTCCTGGGCAAGGAGATCATGTTCCTGTGGCAATATTCAAGATCAAAACTAGATTATTGAGGATAAGTAACTTATATCATAGCTGAAACTAATAGCTACAGTAACCGTGCAGGGTAAAGCATGCCCAGTGCCTCAAAGTTATCAGTCATGGGCTTAAAATGGGCCTCCTGTTTTTTATTCTGTCTGCTGGTCTTTAGGGGAGAAGGGAAGCATTTCAGCAATCTCTTCTAGTGCTTTTTCAAAAGACTATCTCTTGGTGCCATGTATATTCTGAAGATTTTAATTCTGAATGTGGATAAATGAACATAAACTGAAAATTACAAATATAGAATTTCCACAGGTTTATAAATTATCAGATCAGAGAGTTCTTTAATGAGACTCTAGTCTATGAATCTTATTTCTTTATAATCCAAACTCTAATATATATTTAAATTTGCAACACATAAAGATGACTGCATTTCAGTAAATCTAGGTGAGTAAGCAATTTAATACGACTGCCAAGGTTAGAGAAAATGTGAATTTTAAAGTTTCAAAACACCAGCAGGGAACTGCCAGGCAAGTATCTGGTCTAAATACTAGTGAAAAATGGAGCATGAAGCAGGGAAGATTTTGTCATTGATAAGAAAACACTGTATGATGATTAATATGTATCTTAAAGGCCTGTCTACATAAATCTGGTAATTTTATAATGCATACATGAAAGAAACAAATTTTTCTAAAATCACCTTACATAAGATTTTTTAAAAAAAATTTAATGTATAATGTTCTCCCAAATCAGGAAGATTATTTATTTATCTGACCAGGGTCATATTTACGTATTCATTTAAGTCAACAAGCATTTGCCAGGCACTTAAGAATGTTTAGGATTGTATTAGGCATAAAGCAGCAGAATATTAAGTTCCTGGATTCCAACAGCTAATGAACATATATGGAGAGCCGTGAGTAAGTGATAAGTAAATTTTTCATTTCAATTTCTACTAGTCAAAGGAGAAACTGTACTCTCGAGTACAAAAAACCAGGTCATTACTGAAGGAGTGAATCAACTAGCAGCACATCATTAGTTACGTGCAGCTAAGTAGCTGTCAGGAGCACTTCATAAATTATTAAGTGTGGAGTAATAGTTAGTGTGCAATCATTAAAGCAGTAAAAGAAATAGCAGCTTTGAAAGCCACAAGTTTCTTTAGACGGCTCTACCAGACCGAAGCTTTTTGTAGTCCATGCATGCAACTCTTACAGGGTTCTGAAATCCAACTAGCTGTGCATGAGTGCTGGGGTTAATCACAGCTTCTTGGGTGCCTGCAATGGCCTCTGGAATTATGGTCGGGTTCAAGACGGCTTTTTTCTCTTTTAGGTTAAGAACCAGCCCAAGCTCTGGCAAGGGTAAGCAGGATGGTCGGCTGAGCCCGAAAAGTGTGAAGTAGAGGTCCACAGCGCCGCAACGCAATCTCCAGTCATGCGAGGTGCCTGAGATACGGAGAAATCAAAGTCAATGAGCACATTTATGCATAAATTCCCAAGATAAAAGGAAGCCAAAAAAAAAATACCTTGAGAAATCAAGGCCCCACTGGAAACCCTTTGTTCTAATGATGAACAGATGTGAATGGTGAATGAATGAATCAACTAATGGAGTTTTTAACTAAAAAATTTTTACTTCATTCCATTTTTACAAATATATGTACATATTTTTGTATATATGTATTTATATAAATATACATACACATATATATTTGAAAGAATATATATATATTTATTTGTATTTTGTTTTTGGGGTGGGGTCCACACCCTACAGTGCTAAGGGGTAACTCCTGGCTGTGCACTCAGCAAATTACTCCTATTGGTGCTCGGGGAACCATTCCCATATGTCAGGGATCAAATCTGGTCTGCTCCATGCATGGCAAGTGCCCTACCTTGTACTATTACTCAGTCCCTTACAAAATAGGTACAAAATAGCTATTAAAAATCTAATATTCCAAAAGCAGGTTTGTTCGTTTGGTTTTAAATCTTCACTTAATTTCTCTGCCTTGGTAATCATGCCACTTTCATTTGTTTTCTTTACATATCTGATCTTCAATATTCTGTTGGTGAACACAGTATTTCAGTGTCTTACCTCTTGAAATTAATTCTAACCCTTGAAATTATTACTACTTTCAGGTTTTAAAAATAGCACTGTCCTCCCGTTCATTGATTTGCTTGAGTGGGCACCAGTAATGTCTCCATTGTGAGACTTGTTGTTATTGTTTTTGGCATATTGAGTACACCATGGGGAGCTTGCCAGGCTCTGCTGTGCGGGCAGGATACTCTTGGTAGCTTGCTCTCTGAGAGGGATGGAGGAATCAAACCTGGGTCGGCCATGTGCAAGGCAAACGCCCTACCCGCTGTGCTATCACTCCAGCCCAATTATTGCATACTTATAAAATTTAACACTTTTATTTATCCTACTGACAAGTGAAATACTGCCAACTTTCCAGATCTCAATTCACTAAATCAGAAATTTAAACTAAAAAATGTGTAAGCTCTGTGGGTGAATTTCATGTTATTGATTAAAAAAGTTTTTCTTAATCTAAACTTAAAAATATCCATTCTAGTAAGTGCAGCAAAAACCTGCATCTCTAAAATCCTGCTAAATCACAATTTCAAGAGGAAGCATGACAGAATACAGTCATCTCCAGAAAGTGTCCTGCTTTTATATATGGGTTTAAAAAATGCCAAAATTCTAAAATCAGTCCTAGTACAGTAGGGTTTTTTTTTTTTTTAATATTTCTTTGGGTCACACCCAGCAATGCTCTATTGTTACTCCTGGTGGTGCTCGGGGGACCATTTGGGATGCTGGAGACCAAACCTGGGTCGGCCATGTGCAAGGCAAACATGCTATTATACTAATGCTCCAGATATAGAAGAAGAAATATTCTGCCAGACACATTTCTATTTTGCACTGTTCTTATAGTACTTGTTTAAACAAACAAACAAACAAACAAACAAATAACAACAATAAGCAAATTCCAGAGATGGCAAAAAGCAGTAAAACAAAATTGACCAGAAGTGTCTGTACAGAAATTCAGTCTAAAATAGCTGAACAACACTAAAGTCAAGATTTCTTAATTTCTCTGATGAGTCTCATTTTTCACTTCCAAAATTATACCTTACCCTGTACCAAAGACAAACTAGAGCACATTCGTGTAAGTCTTTTCACTTTTGTTATTTTGGGGACTGGGTGCCACAGTGGTGCTCAGGGCTTATGTCTGGTCCTGTGCTCAGGGATCACTCCTAGAGGTGCTTGGGGGACCACAGGTGGTGTTGGGGACTGAAGCTCAGCCAGCCATGTAAGGTAAAACCCCCGTACTATCTCTCCAGCCCCACATGCACTTTCCCGCACACTGTACCCTGTAGAAGATTCCCACATGGATTATCATCATCAAACAAAAATGATTGATAAGATCAATCTGTCATCTGGGGCTTATCTCCATGGTTTCTAGCAAAAATTAAAACAATTTACGGAAGGGGCTGGAGCGATAGCAAAGGAGGTAGGGCATTTGCCTTTTATGCAGCTAGCTGGGTTCGATTCCCAGCATCCCACATGGTCCCCTGAGCACCACCAGGAGTAATTCCTGAGTGAATGAGCCAGGAGTAACCCCTGAGCATTGCCGGTTGTGACCCAAAAAGAAAAAAAAAATTTTACAGAACAGGGATTGTTGGGAGTTCTCCCTGGCACAACCCTTTGACCACTAGAGGTCGCTGAGCCCATAGGGTCCCAGAACCCTGGGTCCCTACCTCTTGGGAACCAGGCTGTTGACAGGGAAGCCTGCCATTCTCGTAGTCACATAGATTAAGTGGCCTTGATCTACTGGCGGCGGCTGGTGGTTTAGGACGTGAGAAACAGGCATCTCTGTGTATCAGCAATACTTCAGCCTTGCCGCTGCCTTAGAGCGTCAAGGCCAGTGCTCCGGCAGCTTCCTCCTAATCCTAACAATAATAAGCCTCCCTTCAACACCAGCTTGCCAGTGCACGTAGGTACATTCCCTCAGTTTCTATTTAACCATGAGGATTTCTAATAAACTTGGTAATATGCTTGGAGCCTATGGCCTGTGTGGGCAACTGTCTCGGTCACACTGCATGCACGAGGCTCTGGGCAGTCTGTCCTAGACTGTCTCCTCTATCCAGGGTCTCCGTAGTTACGATGACTACAAGGGATCTGGCTCATTTGCCCTGAGCCTGATTCTTAGCCCTAGAGGCTGGCAGCACTGAATACTGTGGTGAATACCACTGAATAACCCTCAAGTACTGCCAAGTGGGGCCGCAGTGGCACTCTGGGCACCATAGAGCAGGGTGCCAGCAATTGAACTGTCACGTCTTCACGGCTAGGGTAAGTATCATGGGAGCTGTCCCTGGCACAGGGCCACCCAGCACTGCTGGAAAACCCCAATATCAAGAATAAAGCCAGCAAGAAGAACATCTTTTACCCTTTTAATACCTGCGAACACAAGGGCAGTTCGCAGAGTTGAGATTGAAAACCTCAGACAAGTGAAAAAAGGTCTACAAATTCTTCTGGATAGAACAAAATAAAACCTGTAAATGCTTATTAAGACAAAGAAGGAGGGTCTCAAAATATTTTGTATCAGTATCACAATATTTACAAAGAAGAAACTAAAAGGGGAAAAGTTGCTATAGCAAACAGTTTTTATAGCTAACATAAAAATTAAGCTTTGTGTTTTGCACCAACAAATAATAAAATAAGCATTTCAACCTAACATTTTGACTGAGTTTAGAAGTTAAAGCCAGTATCACAGCTTTAAAACATTGGTTCTCGTGGAGTTCATGCCCAATTCAATCAGCCAAATCAGTGGCTGAATAAATAGCAGTACTCCTACATAAAAAAAAAAAAATTAGTTCTCATCAGATAGAGAACCAAACTTTCTCCAGAAACTTTCTGACCGCAGAGGTAGGTGTAAGCCCTGAACATTGCCAGATGTGATAAAAAAATACAGATCCAGAGAAAATAAAAAATACTCTAAACAACGGTCAAAATTTCACCATTGCTATCTCACCAGAATTCATCAGTTTCCAAAGCTGATCAACGAGGGCTTCATTGCATAAGGGAGACTCCATATTCTTAATAAACGGTGGGTTCTTAGTCAACATGGTCAGAATTTTATGCCTGGAAAAGTAAAAAAAGTAGTGTTTTGCTTTTAAATAAAAGCATTTGAAAATTATCATATGTTTCCTAGTTTATCATCTTTCTTAGATCTAGTTCCATTTCAAAGATGAAGGGCAGGAGAGATCAGACTACAGATGACAAGGGCTCTGGCGGGGGGGTCAAGCACATTGGTGGTGGGGGGGTGAGGCAAACTTTGTAGATCAGGAACATAAACTTTCATAGCATTGTGACTATGTTCCCTTCAGTATAGAAAAGAGATGTTTATGTTTATTTTCTATTGTCTTTTTACCAAACATTCTAATGGGTCTATGCTTTTTTCAAATTGTACCAAGACAGCTAATAAAACCTGGCTATCATTCCAAATGCTTTTTTCCATCAACTTCCAAAAATGAACATCTTCCTCGTTAGTGAAAATTTACAACAAAAACTGGTCAGTAAATATGTAAATCCATAAAAAGGGCATAAAAGTCACATATGTAACAGCCAAGAGGAAGTCCAACATATTGAAATAACATGAATAGACTTCATTAGCATAGTATTGATGAGAGCATAGAAACATACAAATCATATACCAAGACTACAAAGAAGCTCACACAAAATAAGCCAAAGAAAGAACTGGCAAAAATATCCAAGGGAAATAAACGGCCACCCCTAATTTAAGGACAGGATCAGGGAGATAGTTAAAAGGGCTAGTGCAAACACTTTGCATGCTGGAGCACCAGGCTTATCCTCAGCACCTCATGCTCCCCACAGGAAGGAGCACTGAGAAGGGAGTAGACTCTAAGCTCTAGGCATGTGAGCCCCTCTTTTCTCTCCTCCCAACCCCCACCCCCCCTAAAAAAAGAAAAAAGAAAAAGAGAGGGAGAAAAGGGGAGACGATCGTACTATTGGTAGGTTACTTTGCTTTTTTAAAAAGAGGCAGCACAGGGGTCAAGGTACTTGTCATGCACACAGCAAGTCCTGGTTTGACTTCCCTGGCATAGCACAAAATGGTTTCCAGAGCACCGTCAGCAGTGATCCCCGAGCACACAGCCAGGAGTGACTCCCGAGCACGGTTGCTGTCACCCAACACCGCACTCCCCCTTTTACAAAGAGAACGGGCCAGGCAGATGACTGAAAGGGCTGGAGCTAAGTCTGCCATGTACCAGCGCCTGAGTTCAATCAGGCTGGCACCACGTGGTCCCCCTGAGTTGTTAGGTGCGGCTCTGGTGGTCTCTAGTGCCATACTGTAGGGGCTCAGGCCTAGTGGCCCTAGGGAGACAGAGCTTGCTGGGGCAGGTCACCAACTCTCTCTCCCATCCAGAAAAGAAGATAAAGAGAAGAAAGCAAGCCATAAAAGCCATGTCCAGCCATTTAGTGAAAGGACAAAAGCCAGGTCTGGCTGAATTTAAGAAATTCAAGACTCAGTAACAGACCGCTGGTAATAAGGAAGAAAATTAGGTTGTAATTGCAATTGGCATTTTAGCAAAACCTTAAAGGTGTGTTTGGCAAAGCTTCACGTTCAGTTACTACTAAGATTAAATCAGATTTGAACTGCTGAAAAAAAGGGAAAAGAAACCGGGCGGCTGTGGTTTCAGTCATTCTGTCCTGTTTCACTTCCATCTGAGTCCTGTAAACTGAAGACAATAGGCTCTCTCTCACTGTTAACATCAGCTTCCGCTTTGAAACTCCAAGACTATCAAAGACTACTGAAAGGCTGTGAGAACATTTGGTCAGGGATGTGGCTCTGTCACAGGGCACTTACCTTGCACATGTAAGGCCCTGGGTTCAATTCCTGGTATTGCCAAAACCAAACCAAACCAAAAAAACAAACAAAAAAAAAACTAGAAGAACAAAAGTAAAATGAAAGAAAATTACAGGGAGGTAATATACAATACTTATCTTTATAAATCTCATCCTTATGTCCATATCTGTATGGATACACACTATTATGGCTCTGAAAGAGCTTCCAACCTTTGTAAGAGTAGATGAGCATTACAGATAAATTTGGGTGTTCATTCAACCTTTTTACGCCTAGGGAACGGCATCAGCTCACTGACAGGCAGTTAGAAATCACCACTTTAGAGCGTATTAATGTTATAATGCTACAATTTTAGTCTGGATAAACGGTAACTGTGTTTGTTTTGGTGAATGGGCTGTACTCCAGGGCTGCTCAGGGGTCATTCCTACAAGTATTGGGGGACACAGGCAGCAACAGGGGCTGGTCAGCAGCAAGCAAGGCAAGCGCCACACCCCTGTACTCCAGCCCCAGAAGAGCGAAACTCTATCTGGCTGATTTCCCAATTACCCTAAATACCAAAGTCACAAGACCTAACTAATAAAACTTTATGGTATTTATTTACTCAGATGATCACAAACTCTTGGCAAAGGGTGCTCTGGAAATAGCTTTGAAATGGTTACAAAAAAAGTAAAAATGAGTACTCGTTTCTTTTGGGATATTAAATATTTCTTTTAAAGTTTTGTTTTACAGTTTACACAGCAGAAAGACTTTTTTTTTTTTTACAAGACTAAACATTCAAAAGAATACTCAATGGGCTTAAGTTTAAGGGAAAACCATAAGAATTGGAATCATTTTTTTTTTCTAGATTAAACATCAAGTTTCAAGTTATCCGAACCCTATGGTCCACTAACATAGATATGAAATGGAGTCTGGTCAGAACCAAAACACTGTTCAAACTCTCTCTGGAAAAAAGGATTGTACAAGTTTACCACTTGAGGAACTGATGAATGTATTGGGATCACAAGCATGTTTAATTACAAGACCGGAAGGAATCAGTGTCACTTTTATTTATTTTAAATTCTTGTTTGATTTTGGGCATACCTGGCAGTGCTCAGGGATCACTCCAAGTGGGGCTCAGGGTGCCAGGCATTGAAGTTGGGTGAATGCATGCAAGGCAAGTGCCTTACCCACTGTACACTTTCTCCAGCCCCTAAATGCTATTTTGAAAACAATCCTATCCAGTCTAATGAGTGGTCCTTCTAATCAATGCAAAACATATAGACAGGCACATAAATGTCTAAAAGCAACAATCCAAATTTTAAGAACTATTTCTGGCAATTATTTTTTAAAATAATAAAGAATCATTCCTAGTTTTCGGGAACAATTTAAGAGGATATTCTAAAATTATTCAATTTATTTTCAGACTTACTGTCACGGTCCTCCCGTTGTTCATCAATTTGCTCGAGCGGGCCCAGTAACGTCTCCATCATGAGACTTGTTGTTACTGTGTTTGGCATATTGAATACATCACGGGTAGCTTGCCAGGCTCTGCCGTGCGGGCGAGATACTCTCGGTAGCTTGCTGGGCTCTCCAAGAGGGGAGGAGGAATCGAACTCGGGTCAGCCATGTTGGCTGCGTGTAAGGCAAACGCCCTACGGCTGTGCTATCGCTCCAGCCCCATTTTCAGACTTAACAACATAAAAAAAAAGCACAAAACTAACCTTACATAGGGTACAGGGTCATTCTGAATCATAGTAAGCAACCACTGTAGTTCTTCATAACTCCGGTCCACTAAAAATTTGAAAAAGAAAATACAATTATTGTTAATTATACCAAATGTAAAGAGGAAGTATACACTGAATGCTGGTTGAAAACTTTTTTTTTTCTTTTTGGGTCACACCCAGCAATGTTCAGGGGTCACTCCTGACTTTGCACTCAGGAATTACTCCTGGTGGTACATGGGGATCAAACCGGGTCGGCTGCATGCAAGGCAAACGCCCTACCCGCTGTACTATCGCTCCAGCCCCGGCTGTGGAAAACTTTTTTATGTAAAAGGTTAGTATAAATTTTACTATCCAATCTATCATATAGTATCCTGCTGTATGTATATGTGATATGTAATTGATGTATGTATATGTAATATGTAACATGAAGCATGAACAAGTGCATTTTTTTTCCCCACTAAAGCTCAAATGAATGGTAAAAACAACAAAACAAGAAAAGTTTGATTTATTAGGAATCCTAAGTTAGAGATGATTAATTCTAAATGGACAAGATGAGTTTGGATAAAATTTTATTTCTAAGACTGAAATCTATTTTCAGAGAGTTCTGACCGCTTACTCACACAGGATGATAAACCTCTTTCCAGGGCCAAAGAAATAGTACAGCAGGTAAAGCACTTGCCTTGCTTGTAGCCAACCCGGGGTCCATCCCTGGTACTGTGTATGGGTTCCTCCCACTTCCCATGTTGGCCAGGAGCAATCTCCAAGCAAAGAGCCAAGAGTAAGTTCTAAGCACTGCTGGATGTGGCCCCAAACCAAAATTAAATAAATACGTTAAAATGCTTTCATATGAGATTGCTTTAAGATTAAAGAGCAGCCTTCACTTGACAACACAATATAAAAAGGGTTTACAGTGTTACTATAAATGTTACTGATCAACAAAATGAACTACATTAGCTATCATTAGCTATTTTTACTTACTCTTTCTTTCATTTTTGGGCGTCACATCCCTCTGCTCAGGGTCTACTCCTGGCTGAGCACTCAGGAAGCTGCCCTGGCAGAGCTCGGGGGACTGTACAGACTGAACCTGGGTTGTCTGCATGCAAGACAAGAGCCCTGCCTGCTGTACTATCACCCCATCTCCTCCCTTATACTTTCAAGTTTTGCTTTTGTGATCTGAAAATCTTATTGCAGATTTTATTCTATTATTTTCATTTTCTCCATTTTTGTAATGATCTGGATTTAACAATCCCATTTAAACCGTTACCATTTTAAATGATAACACTTGACCAGCATTCTTCTGTAAATTGTAGTATTGGTGCTTTGTTTTATTTTGAATGGTGTTCATTTAGGATACATTTAGGTCACGGTCATGGTCCTCCCATTGTTCATCGATTTGCTTGAGCGGGCCCAGTAACATCTCCATCGTGAGACTTGTTACTGTGTTTGGCGTATCGAATACGTCACGGGTAGCTTGCCAGGCTCTGCCGTGCAAGCGAGATACCCTCGGTAGCTTGCCGGGCTCTCCGGGAGGGGCGGAGGAATCGAACTCAGGTCGGCCATGTTGGCGGCTTGTAAGGCAAGCGCCCTACCACTGTGTGTCAATGAAAACTCATGAACTCTGGGAAAGAAAATTCGGGATACTGGCTTATTGGAAGACATGAGACTTCAAGAATAGTAAAGTATCGGAACAAAACTGGAGAGACATAGGATTCGATTTCTTGCCAAGAAATTCATTTTAAAAAGCCAATAATACAAAATTTTCAGCATCGTCTCTGAAAGGAAAATTTGGCTCTCAATGTCAAGAATAAACAACAATCTGAAACTAGGCCACATACACACACACACACACACATGCGCGCGCATAATACACAATATGCTTCTTCCTCTTCTTGACGGGGAGCAAGCGACAGGCCTCGGGCCCTGATGCAGTTCTCTACTTACATCCCCGCCCCCCCCAAATCACTTCTAAACCAGAGAACCCAAAAATATAAAACATCTATACTGGCCAGAAAATAGTAAGAATTCCTTCCTAAAATGCCAAGCACATCTCTGTGAATTACCTTTAGTGTAGTCCACAACAGCCTCCAAAGCTGCAATTCTTATATCCACGAAGTGGCCGTACTCCGCATAGGATTTGAACAGAGCCGGGTCACTTGGCACATGCCCATTCTTCTGCAGCACTCGGATAGCTCTCAAACAACTGTGAAAAACATTGAAATACTTGTTAAGGATGCTCTAAATCGATTTAATTGTGATAAGAAACCGAAAGGTTGATAATGTGAACGAGAATTGTTTTTTAAGTGAAAACAAGTTTTTATTGAATGAACTTTACTTAGATGTGAGGGGAGAGAGGAAGAGGGACACATGTTCAGGGGAGAACAGAGATTTGAAAGACCAAACTAAATCAACTTCTTAAAGTCTGAGATAGCAAATGTTAGCAATGACTGGAATAACTTAGAATACCTAAACCCTATTCAAGAAATCAAACTTCAAAATTTTTTTAAAAATTGAATTTTAGGTATCCTAACACAAACACACTTAAGAAAGGCACATTTGACATTTACTGAACACACTTATGCAATCAGTGAATCAATAAAATGTCTTCTTTAGCTAACTCCCAAACTGGCAGAACTTTTCAGTAATCATACAAAAAAATGTTGACAGAATTAAAAGGCATCAGAAAAGCCTAGCAGCAGGATATCTACAGTAGTTCAAATCAGATAAAAGAAGATCAGGATCAAAAATAGCACTGTAGCACTATCCTCCCAATGTTCATCGATTTGTTCGAGCGGGAACAAACCAGTAACGTCTCCACTGTGAGACGTTTTACTGTTTTTGGCATATCAAATACGCCACAGGGAGCTTGTCAAGCTCTGCCGTGCAGGCGGGATACTCTCGGTAGCTTGCGGGGCTCTCCAAGAGGGATAGAGGAATCAAACCCGGATCGGCCACATGCAAGGCAAATGCTCTACCTGCTGTGCTATCACTCCAGCCCAGGATCAAAAATAGTTATAAAGAAAAGAAAAGTATTTATGAAGAAGTTTTGGCACATCAAATGCTTTTCGTTTAAATAGAATATAATAACCATTATGTTACAGGATGGGATGATAGATAGCTCAAAGAGCTATGGCATATGTTTCTGGGTTTTTTAAAAAGATGTTTTGGTGTGGCTGGAGCGATAGCACAAGCGGTTAGGGTATTTGCCTTGCTTGTTGCCAACCTGGGTTTGATCCCCGGCATCCCATAAGGTCCCTTGAGCACTGCCAGGAGTGATACCTAAGTTGCCTGAGCCAGGAGTAACCCCTGCGTATTTCCAGGTATGACCCAAAAAGCAAAGGAAAAAAAAAAAGATGTTTTGGTTGGGGGATACACTTGGTGGTACTCTGGACTTAATCCTGGCTTGCATCCTACCTGCTATACTTCTGGCCAGCCCCGCTAGTGCTCATGTTTTGCATGCAGGACGCCCAGGTATGATCTAAGCAGTGCTTCAGGAGAGCTACCCCTGAGTACTGGCCAAACCAGTTTGTGACCCCAAAACCAAAAAAATAAAAACAAAAGAACCTAAGATCTTAGTTTTCTTCATTTGTCTTATTTCCCAATACACAATCACAAAAAGAAAAGTTCTTTTATTCATATTAATATTTAATTAACAAAAATAATTTTAAAGGAAATGTAAAGAATCATTATACCTGACAGTGATGGTGTGTCTATAACTTGGAAGAAGTTTTTCCATATTCAAAAATCTGGTGATTTCTTCAAGTATAAGCCGCACATCCGGATTGAGGTTATCCAATGTTCGAACTTCATTATTCACACTGACTGCAGGCGTAACAGAATTGGCAAGGGCATCAATCATTTCTGCACGGTAATAGTTATCTGAAAACTAAGCCACAAAATAATTACAGTAAGATTATAAAATTCATACTTCAGATGAAAATGGAATAAAGTATGTGTGACAACTTTGTGACTTATCTGAAGACAGAAGCAAGTTTTCTGATATTCAACTCTATCTTTTGTGTAAAAACACAGATTAGACTTCAAGGTGAAAGAGAGTCTCTAATTAGCGATACATTAGTTGATGAATTATTTACTTCATGAAAGGCACCTTTTCATAGTCACCTAAGAAACCATCCAGATTCTAGAGAAAGGAAAATCAGTCTTCAAATCATCCCGGTAGGACAGAGCTTATTAGCTATTTAGCATCATCCTCACATTTATGAATATGTAGACACAATGATCAGCATTATTATTTGGAGAGAGCAAGAGCGAGGGAGCGAAAGAGTGAGAGAGACACACACTAGGGGGTTAGAGAGACAGTTCAAAGGCTACTGCCCATGCAAAGCATTTGAGAGCCTTGGTTCACCCCAGCAATACGTGGTCCCCAAGGATAACAGAGAGTAATCCCTAAGCATGACTGGATGTTCTTTTCCCAAAATAAAGGAAAAAAAAAAGAGAGATCAGAACAAAGGAGGGGAGAAGAGGGGAAGGAACCTCGAGGCATAAAAATACACAAAGGAAAAAAGGGGGGAAGAGATTAATACAGCAGGTACGGCACTTGCTATTACACAGTTGACCCAGGTTCGATCCCTGGCACCATATATGATCCCCCCTAATCCCAGCCAGAATTGATTCTTGAGTGCTGACCGGTGTGGCCCAAAAACCAAAAGAAAAAGAAGAAACGAAAAGAAAAGAAAATCAGCAGGGGCTAAATTTAAAAATCTTTATTATTTAAGAAATGATGAAGGCTATGCTTCAAATATGGTTTGAACCATGGGAACACCTGCAAGGGTGATTACAACTCACCCTAAAAGTCCCTATCCCTCTCGGAGAGCCTGGCAAACTACTGAGAGTATCGCGCCTGCACATGGCAAGCTATCCGTAGAGTACTCAATATGCCAAAACCACTATATACAATGGGTCTCATTCCCCTGACCATGAAAGAGCTACCATTACGGCAGCATTAAGAAGGATGAAGAAGGAGAGGCTGATAAAATCTCAAGGCTGACCTAGGCTGCCAAAACGAAGAAAGACAAAAATGACTGTCTGTACTTTCAATGAACATATGCTGGCATCAGATGCATCCATCAAGGTCCTGATGGAACAAGCACAAAAGATCAAGTACGACATCATTGGTCTGACCAAGACGGGAAGGCATCAATCACATCGTGCCATTTTTGACACTGGAGAAGAACTGCTCCTTGGAACATGTGACAAAAGTGGCATCAGAGGTGTCGATGTCCTTGTCAACACGAACTTGGCCATGAGCACTGATTCATTCGAATGCCTAACCACTGAAATCAGATGATTACACTCGAATTGATGTGGCTCACTGCCAGCAGTTTCTATCTTCGTTGTCTACGCACCAACATCCAATTATGATGGAGAAATTGAGAAATTCTACATGGAGCTGGAGAAGTTATATAAAGAACACACCTTCTACAAGACCATTGTTGGTGATTTTAATGCCAAGATAGGACTGAAAAGATCAGCTGAAGAACTACACATGAGGACCCATGGCCTAGAATGGAACAAACAGGGTGAGAGACTATCTGAGTTCATCATGTCGACCAAGACCATTCATGGTAACTCACAGTTCCAGAAGGCCGAATCTAAACAAAGGACATAGGAGTCTCCCGGTGGACAGTTCCACAACGAAATTGACCACATCATATTCAATCGGCGGATTTGCCTGACCAATGTCGCTCTTGTCCCAAAATTCCAAACGGGATCAAACCACCATCTCCTTTGTGCAAAATTCTACTTCACAGAGTCGGGAAAAAGGGCTGCAAATTTAAGAAGAGAACTCCCAGAAAGACCACCAACTGGGAGCTCTTTGGCACTATTGTAGCAACATGGAAAGATGCCGTCGTTGACAACATTGATGAGGAAAATGATCGACTGGTTTGGCACCTTCATGATTGTGCGAGGAACACCAAGCGAGATAGCCACAAAAAAACGCCTATCTTCGAAAACTCTTGAGGTTATTTGCCAATGTGGCTTGGAGCAACGTCCGAGCTGGCAAAGCAGTGCAGAGGAAAACCTCAAAGAGAGAAGAGCAGCAGTGCTGGCAGATGTGGCAGAAGCCGGGAAAAGCTTTCACAACACCCTCCTGTCCTTCGCCAACTAAAAGACCAAGACGACTGCTCTCTGATGTCCTGATGGGTCTATCACATTTTCCAGAAGGACAACGGAGAAGATTATCCAAGACTTCTACTCGGATTTCTTCAATAGCCACGTCCACCTGCCCACATACCAAATTCGGCAGGATGGATATGTCATTTCCAACATTCTCCCTTCCAAAATCCGACACACCATTTCGTTGGTAAAGAAGTGAACAGCACCTGGCCCAGACAAGGTCAGACCTGAACACCGAAGAATCTGCCGTTGGTACTCATCAATACACTGGCTCGGCTCTTCACATGGTACCTGTCTGAATGCAAGGTTCCATCCCAATAGAAAATCAGCAGGACTGTACTACTGTACAAGAAGGGAGACATCCACGATATTGGGAACGATCGCCCGATCTGCCTATTGTCTGTCATCTACAAGCTGTTCACTCGAGTCATCCTGAATAGGATTGGCAGAACACTAGATGGACAACCATGCAAGCAAGTCGGGTTCCACGAAGGATTCAGCACCATTGGCCATATCCACACGATAACCAAGCTCACTGAGGTTTCTCGGGAGTTCAAGATGCTGCTCTGTCTAACGTTCACTGATTTAAAGAAAGCCTTTGATTCTGTTGAGATAGAAGTGGTCATCGAAGCCCTAGCCAAACAGAGGACTCCATACATCAGGATCCTCCATGAACTCTACTACGGATTCACTACCAGGATCTCACCATTCTACAAAGAAGTGATCATCCATGTCAAGAGAGGGGTTTGGCAGGGTGATACCATTTCACCAAAACTCTTCAGTACCACCCTTGAGAACGTCATGCGACTACACCACCTCCACTTTGCTGATGATATCATTCTAATAACACCAAACACTAGCCAACTGGCACAAATGCTGGCCGACTTCGACCGTGAGTGTGGAAAGGTTGGACTACAGCTGAATCTCACGAAGAAAATACTTATGAGAAACAGTCTCGTTCCTGACGTTCCATTTGCTCTCAATGAAAAGAACATCTTCGAATGCAACAGTTATGTGTACCTAGGTCGAGAAGTCAACATGACTAATGACATGGCACCTGAGTTGCAAAGGAGGAAGAGAGGGGCTTGGAACGCCTTTAAGAACGTTGAAGAAATAGCTAAGAGGACGAAGAACTTCTGACTCCGGGCACATCTCTTCGATTCCACTGTTCTTCCTGCATTAACATATGCCTCAGAGACCTGGGCCCTATGAAAACAGGATGAGAACGCTATTCGGGTCTCCTAAAGAGGAATCGAAAGAGCTATGCTTGGAGTATCACACTTCACTCAAATGAGAGAAAGAATCTGGAGTTCCAACCTCCGTCAACGGTCAAGAATCAGGGACACTGTCTCGTTTGCCAAGGCACTGAAAATTAGATAGGCTGGACACGTAATGAGATTTGGAGATGACTGCTGGACTAGGGCCGTTACTGACTGAATTCCACTGGACGTCAAAAGATCGTGTGGCCACCCCCCTATGAGATGGTCAGACTTCGTCGTCAAGACCCTGAACGATCTGTTTGAGGCTCTTCGTGTTCCTAGAATGAACAGACGCCATTTGGCTATACTAGCATGCAACAGGGACAAATGGTGCCCGCTCGAGCAAATCGATGAGTAACGGGATATCAAGTGATCAAGTGATGCTTCTACAAGAACAATATATTCTTTTATTTATTAATTTTTGGGGGTTTTGGGGCCACACCCAGTGGTGCTCAGGTGTTATTCCCTGGCTCTGTGCTCAAGGATCTTCCTGGTGGTGCTCATACAGGATGCTGGAAATAAAACCCAAGTTGGCCACATACAAGGCAAGTGCCCTACAGGCTGTATCTATCACTCCAGGTCCAGAACAAAATGTCCTGAAAATAATTATGCAGAACTGAATTGAAATATAATTAAAAAAAAAAACTGAAGCAAAAGAAAAAACCTAAAAAGTGACAAAAACATAAGTATACTGGAAAATCTTTTAATCATATGATTCAGTTTTAAGACATAAAAAGTACCTAAGGAAAAAAATTAAAATTTCCAAGTATTATGAAATAACAATAAAAAATGATTTAAATTAAAAAAATGTTGGAAGAGCACTTCAGTACTAAGAAATACCAAGTGTTGAATAAATGAACACCATTACCCACAGCATTATAATTGAAAAAAGCGGCTTAAACTTTCTCAAAAAGCAATTAAACAATCATTGTCGCATTCTTCCAAAAGTTCTCTTTTTAAGGAAAAGAAAAAAGAGGCTGCAAAATCAAACAGTGATTACCTAATAAGTAGATTATATCCTTCTTTTCCAGTGTTTTGTTAAGCTACTCCTTAACAAATACACTACTTATATAAAGAAGGCTTAAGGTTTTAGTTTGCTGATTAAATTCCAAGATAAAAATTGCCAAACTTTCCATAAATTCCTACATTCTAAATGAATTCCTCATTTCTTCTTAGTTAAAATTATTTTTCAAACCCATTCTCTCCAGTTTTATTGCTTAACATATTCCCCCCTCAGAAAACTTAACATATCAGCACCCTTTTATACTGATCTGTTTATACAATCACAGTAATCAGAGTCATATTAGAAATCAGGGTATTTATATCCCATGTAAGTGAAAACATAAAAGATCTTTTGAAGAAAATATACCAAAAGATATAAAAATTATTCTTCTGAAAATGATGACCTTCTTGAACCTTGCCAATTGGGAGAGCTGCCCTGTGGCCTCTCCAAGAGCCTACCATGTACCAGGTCCCTCCTGTCACTCCAGCTCAGGAGTTTACTAAATTGCCCTCTTGGCTCCGGAGTCTTCTCTGGCCTCTCCATCTGCAACACGGGTTACTCTCAATCTCCAAGTGCTTCCTCAATAGTCAAAAGTATCTCTTTTTAGAATATTTAGCCCATCTTATTAAAACTGCCTCGAGCAGGCCCCAGTAACGTCTCCTTCATCCTAGCCCTGAGATTTTTTAAAAAGCATCATAATAAAGGCTCTTTCAGGGTTAGGAGAATGAGACCCATCATTGTTACTGGTATTTGGCATATTGGGTACACCACAGGGAGTTTGCCAGACTCTGCAGTGTGGGCAGATACATTCGGTAGCCTGCCATTTTGTCCAAAGTAAGAATGAGATAATAAAATGTCGCGCGGCCGCAAATGTAGCTGCATGCTTCCGGGAACTGGGTTTTATAGTCTCTGGGTCTTGGCCGTTGATGGGATTACACAGTGCCAGGGGACCAGTTGGTGGGAGTGACCCTTGCCTACTGGAATATGGAGGATCTGGGTGGAGGATGCTCAGCCCCGATCCGAGCAGGCTTGGAGATCTCATGCGGTGTGGAGAGTGGTCTCAGCATGGTGATGGCTGGTTCTGGAGGTCTTCGGCTGCCGGAGCCCTAGTCGGGACGGGGAGGGAAACTCAACCCGCTCCCCTCCAAGGGGCCCCGGCGAGAATATCCAGGTGCAGGGGCAGGAGACTCTGCACTGTTCTCTTCCGGGAGCTGGGTTTTATAGTCTGAGTCTTGGCTGTTGATGGGATTACACAGCGCCAAGGAGGCCAGTTGGTGGGTGTGACCCCTACCTACTGGAATTTGGAGGATCTGGGTGGAGGATGCTCAGTCCTGATCAGGGCTCCGGCAGCCGAAGACCTCCAGAACCAGCCACCACCATGCTGAGACCACTCTCCACAAGCATGAAGGTACCAGCAGAGGAACAAAGGCATGTGGGTCCCGGGGCTGAGATCTCCAAGCATGCTCGGATCTTATTAAAATGCTGTTCCTCTGGTGTCTCCTCACTCAAGACTAAATACCCGAAAGGTAAATATCATTAAAAAAAAAATTCATCAAAATCTAGTGATCCCTTGAGCACAGAGCCAGGAACACAGCCAGGCCTGGCCCTCTAATCAAAAATCAAACAGCAAAGCATCTAATGAGGACAATTTCTTCGACTTTGGAAATGAAACTAAGGTGACCAAGGGGTGGGGAGCAGAAGAACCAGACTATTAGGGGACATCAGGACAGTTTGGGGTACTGACAATAATTCTGTACACCACAAACATGAATGTAAATACTATTGCAGCCATGTTACTTCAACAAAACTAAAATATCTTTTAAATAAACAAAAAGTAGAAATGTAATTTTTGAAGCCAAATCCCCCAACTTCAACATGGAAAAAAAATACCAAAAGTTTTCACTTCCTGATGTATCTGAGGGTTTTCGTAGGAGTAGACCAACACAGTGGTCCTGAGCTGTAAGTCTGAAGGAAAAAAGAATTTGGAAATGCAATCAATTACACAATCCTTAATAAAATTACCATAAGAACTACTTAGTAAGTGCTGAGATTTTTAAAAAAAAAAAAAAGATGGAAAATTTGAACCACTTGAAGAGATTAAAAATAAGAAGTCAGCAGAGTACAAGAAGAGGCCAGAGCTCAATGCTCAGCACACACATCCTCATGTCACTGTCACTGGGTGTGGCTCTGTTGTCCCCTTGAGTACTACTGGCTGGAACCCCTATTTAAAAAAAATAAAGCATATGCTTTTTACAAAAGTCTGCTTAGGTAAATTTGTTCGCTTATAAAGTACCAGAGATGAAATCAGTATTTAAAACACATATATCATCTTTAGTCTTTTCAGTCCTGCTTTTCAAAAGATTCTACCCAGCTTACATCATTTGATTTAAAAAAAAAGTTTTGAATTATAAATCAAGTATATATAAGTGTATATAAGACTTTTTCTTTTAATTCTATAATGTTTCAACTATTTATTACAGGTTACATCAGTTCCGTGTGTCTTTGTATGTGTTGTGCCTTCTGTGTAGAACAAGCTTCCTAGAGTGTCCCTATAAAGAAATCAGAAAATTCTAGTTATTTCTATCACTCAGTTTCAGGGTCAAAAGACCAAGTTTGGGGCTGGAGCAATAGCACAGCGGGTAGGGCATTTGCTTTGCACGTGGCTAACCAGGGTTTGATTCCCAGTATCTCATATGGTCCCCCAAGCACTGTCAGGAGTAATTCCTGAGTGCAAAGCCAGGAGTAACCCCTGTGCATCGCTGGGTGTGACCCAAAAAACCAAAAGAGAGAGAGAGAGAGAGAGAGAGAGAGAGAGAGAGAGAGAGAGAGACACCAAGTTTATAACGCTTTCCAGAGGCTTTGCTTCTATTCCTTGGGAGGAGGCTCTTTTCCTACTGAGTTCCCTTAGATCAACATTCGTCAACCTTTTTTTGTCACCTGAGGACCTACACATGCATGCCACAGGTCCATGGTGGAAGACCAGTGGATTTTCAACCATTCAGTATCTGTGAACAGCACTGGTGAGTGGACCACTGGCTGAAAACCACTACCCAAGAAACTGTCAATGTGTATCTCCATTGGAGCAATTAGGTAGGCTATGACTTCTCCATCAGATTGAACCCTCAGGACTCAGAATCAGACTGTGATACACATCAATTACCAACATGTTTACAATAAAATCTCTGGAGACATTTGTTATCTCTTCTATTTACTAGGCTATTCTGCCACAATATGTATCTGCAGGCTGGTAAGAGATGAAAGTATTCTGAAATAATTTTTGAAGCAAGGCATTCAATATTTATTTGCTAAATAAATGAACACATGTTAAGAAAAAAAAAGTCAAACATCAATAAAGTTACCTTGAGAGAAAGTGCTTCCTGGGTATTACTCAAAATAAAAATGGCTGTCAGATTCCACAAAAATGAGACTCAACTGCTTTACCAAATCTGATGCACTACTATCACTATGTTCCAACAGGTATTACATTCTAAAAATATCATGTTTGTATGTTTCTATCTCTAGCCATTTCAATTACCATGAATTTAACAACGGTTTCATAGATGAAATATTTCCTTAGAAAGATGACTGGGTACTAAGTAAGAAAGGTACCTTACCTTATTTTTTCTGTTGTCATTGTACTTGATTAAGTCTAGAATGAATGTTAAGACTTCTTTGGGACAAAGGTTGTGAACATCTCTCAATAAGGCCATTGCAACGGGCATAGTCTATGAACAAAATCAAGCATAAATTTTAACACTGTCATTATTACATTTCACTGAAGTATATGTAGCCGAGTTACTCAGGGGTTGACAATGGATGGAGCTCAATCCACCCCACACCAACCACCCCAACTATCAAGAACATGCCTCAAACATAAGAGACGAACTAGGAGGAAGAAAACCCAGGGGTGAAAACTGCACAGACGGATGCACTGTGGAGCCATGTACTTTGTCTTTATTTGTAAAAAACAGATGTAGGACAAATAATCCTATGGAAAAGAACCTCCACCAGTAAAATCAGGCAAGTTAGACTCAAAGAGAATAGACTACAGCAGAATAGATACGGTCCCAGAAAACAAAAAAATTAACCCAATTAACTATCTCCTATTAACTCAAAATATCGGACAGACATGAAGAAGGGTGGTGCCTGAAGGCCCCAAAGCAACAGTAACAACAATAAGCAACATAAAGGACAAAAGAAATGTTCTTTTCCATAGAAATATGTCTTATACCTGTTGTGCTGTTTAGCTTCAAGATTCTGGCATTATTCTCCTCTCTCTACTTTAGTCTAGTTATCCCAATCTCTGTTTCAACATTAATGAATTGAGCAAATGACTTTCGTTGCCCAAATTGTGAGCACTATCACCTTCCTTCCTAAAGCCACTCCATCACATTACTACTAAATTGCCATTTATAAAAGACTTACTATATGATACACATCCTACAATAACCAACTTGGATTAGATGTCTGGCACTGCATATGGTCCCCCGAGGCCCAACAGGAGTGATCCCTGAACACAGAGCCAGGAGTAATCCCTGAGCATAATTAGGTATGCTCCTACTCCAAAAAAAAAGTTCAGAAGACAAAAGGAAATAAAGGGTAAATGTTTTATAATATAAGTGGCACTGTGGCACTGTCCTCCCATTGTTTATCGATCTGCTCAACCGGGCACCAGTAACATCTCACAACAAATTGTGAGACTTGTTACTGTTTTTGGCATACTGAATACATCACAGGTAGCTTGCCAGGCTTTGCCGTGCAGGCGAGATACTCTCAGTAGCTTGCCGGGTTCTCCGAGAGGCAGAGGAATTGAACCAGGGTCAGCTGCATGCAAGGCAAACGCCCTACCCGCTGTGCAATTGCTCCACCCCTTATAATATAAGTATGTTATTAAAATGGTCCCCAAATAAACTGAGAAGATAATGGCATAAAATAATGAGAAGAAAATCAGAGTATAAACTGTACCTTCTGTAGGAAATAGCTTTGAAAGCTCATAAAGTTGTTTGTTTTCACAATGTTTGGACAAGTTTTACAACAGAACATTCTAGTGAAGAGTGACTTCATAGCTGGTGGTCCAGTCCATGTGCTCACCATTGAATTTGCAATCTGCAAATTTGAAGACAAAGTCCTTTTCATCATTATTGCAAACATATTTCTAAATACAACTTTCAGAAATGTAATATATTAATATATCTGTCTTTTATTATTTCCAGGAAAATATGCAAACTTTCCTTCCCAACTTCTCGGGTGCACCTGTAATTATGTCTACAATTTGTTGTCTAAATTGAAGCACTATTTAATTTTTTAAAGAAAATATGCCTTCGAAAGGCTTCTCTTCTGAGTATGTCCTTCCCCTTTAGGAAAAAAAAATTTGTATTTAAATTTTAGAGGCAGAAAGATCACCGTGCATTTTAAGTATAATTTTTTCAATCTGACCTAACTGAAACAAAAGTAAAAAAACTTCTAATCAGATCTGTAAATAATGCTCTATTGGGGTAAGAGCAATATCAGAGTGGGTGGGGCACTTGCCGTGCTTGTGATGGGCCTGGGTTCAATCACCAGCGTTTATACAGTCCCCAAGCACCACCAGGAGTGATTACTGAATTCAGAGCAAAGTGTGACCCAAAAACAAAGCAACAACAGAATGTTTTACTAAAAAGAATTACTTGCAGTTGATATTTTTATAGAATAAAAAAGCATGTCTAAAACATTAAAATTATAATTAACTTTAGGCAGATCTAAAACACAAAATGTTTAGAATTAAATTATATCATTAGCAGATGATTCACAAGGAAATGTATGCTTTCCTTGTAGGTCTCAGTAGGACACAGGAATTCAACTATCACTAAAGATAAAACAAATCTAAACCATTATAACCCACTGAAATGTTGGACAAAGGGTTTAGCAATAAGGAAGACAAGAGAGTCAGTATATAGAATGAACCTATTATCAAGATATTTTTGAAGTATCTGAAAACCATTTTTCTGGCAAAATTTTTGCCTGTGCTTTTCTGGTATTCATTTGTACTCCCTTCAGTTTTTTGGATTTTTTTGTTTTTGTTTTTTGCATCTTAAAAGTTTTTATTTTCTTTATAAATTATTTTTTCTAGCATGTCAAGTTATAGGTCCTATCATTTTCTAATTATGTATCACTAATATTGATTATTAATCTCAAACCAACACAGTCAGCACAGTGGAAAAATAAAGATGAACTTATATTATGTACTATAATGTGAGACACCACTCAAAGCAAAGTGATTTATTATCAATATACTCTTAGCCCTAAAATCAATTGGTTGGCAAATCAATAGAAAGGTGACAAACTGTTTGATTTGAAAATCTGAGTTTTCAGGTTTGATTAACTATTAAATTTTAGAGTATATCTATCTTCAGGCAAAAAAAAAAAAGTGTTTCTATTCTATCAGTCTTGCTAAAAGCATTTGTCAAAGGGGCCAGAGGTCTCTGCAGGAACACGGCAGGGGAAGAACTCGCCTTGCCACGCATTTTGGGTATATGACCGGGGATCCAATCCCAGGCACCACACATGGCACCCCCGGCCCAGGCCAGCACTCCCAGGGTCACTCCTGAGTGCAGAGTTAGGAGTGCTCCTGAGCACAGCCAGGAGTGGCCCCAACAGGCTTTGCAAGCACGAAACACCAAGCAAAGTTAAAGATGGATTAAGTCTAAATACTCTTCAGAGCTCCACCTAATTTTAAATTCATATAACTCTTGGATTTTGGGTCACACACAGAATCCTCGGGTGCTAATCCCAACTCCGTGCGTGCGGACCACCGGTGGAGGGAGCGCCCCCCACAGCGCACGAGCTGGTGTTCTGAGTCTGCTGTAGCACCCGCCTGCCTTCGACCCTGCATGCGCTCACCTTGGCGAGGCAGAAGCAAGCTGCCATCCGCACTCGGTAGAAACACTGCTCTTGCTCCAGGATGTCAGTGAGGGCGAGGCGGGATGCGGGAGTGGGAAACTTCTCCAAGGCCAGAATGGACTCCTGCTGCGCGACAACGTCCCTCTCGTAGCGGAGCTGATACTGCCACATGAAGTCGGCTTGCTCGAACTCCACCTTCCTCAGGACCGACATATCAGGGTCGATCCTTATCCACAGCAAAGGAGAATCAGCACTGGAAGGAAATACAATTTCCTCATTTACTTCAGCTCTGTATGTTTAAAAACCAAGGCAGCTATTCATCAGATTTTCTCCAGTATGGAGTGTTAAGAGTGCCTGGAGTTTTATTGTATTCATTAGTTTTAAAATGACACCGAGGACCTCCTTATTTTTGTTTAATGCACTTTAGTTTTTTCAGCTTTTTCAGAATGTCTAATCTACATCTATCTTAATATTATTATTTTTGGGTTTGGAGCCACCCACAGCAGTGCTCAGGGTTTACTCCTGGCTATGCACTCAGGATAACTCCTGCTGGAGCTTGGGGGACCATATGGGATGCCGAAACCAAACACGGATTTGGCAGCATGCAAGAGCCTTAGCCATTGTATCATCTCTCTGGCCTCATATCAATCTCACTGAAGAGATCCCCAAGGATATGATGACAATCATTAGATATCTCATCGCAAATTATTCATTTGGAGGCTTTGAGATTGTGACACATGATATGAAAGAGGATAATAGGTCGAATTTCTTCACTTCACTTGCTAGGGGGTCTAATATTAGACTATGGTTGTAAGTGCCACTCTTTACTAGAAACCTGTGACCAAAAAATAGAATCACTAATCAATATGATTCAACTGACTTTTAATATTGTTTTTGGGCAACATCAATCTGTGCTCAGGCATGAATCCCAGCTCAGTGCTCAGGGGAGCATATTTGGTGCTAGGAATTCAAATCTACATGCAAGCAAGCACCTTTTCACCCATATTATTTCTCTGGTCCTTTAATGGATGAACGGGAGGACAGTGCTACAGTGCTACATACGAAACACTATAAACCAATAAATTTCACCACAAAAATGTGCAATAAGACAACTATCAGTGAATATATCCTTTTCAGATTAAGGCAAAATAAAGCTTTGCAACAATAAAGATAAGTGGAAGGGTACACTAATGTGAGTTAAAATACATTTCAAGATAAAGAGTACATTCAGAGAAATAGAAGGGCATTTCTTATTAATAAAAGGCTCAATTAATATGGAAGACATTACTATAAAACTGTGGATGAGGGGCTGGAGAGATAGCACAGCGGGTAGGGTGTTTGCCTTGCACGCGGCCAGCCCGGGTTCGATTCCCAGCATCCCATATGGTCCCCTGAGCAGCGCCAGAAGTGACTCCTGAGTGCAGAGCCAGGAGTAACCCCTGTGCATCGTCAGGTGTGACCCAAAAAGCATAAATAAATAAATAAATAAATAAATAGTGACTCATCATTAAAAAAAAAAACAAAACTGTGGATGAGGGGCTGCGAGGCCGTACAGCAGGATCACAGGCATCACATACAGCTGCCCCCACTCCACCCACCAAAACCACCAGGAGGAACCCCTAACCACCACAGGGTGTGGCCCCCAAACCAAAAACAAGTAACTAAGCCATGGATGCATGTAGTACAGAGCTTCAGAATATACAAGGCAACAACGAAGAGAATGAGAGAAACACAACGGCACCCGTGAAATTAAGCATGGTATTCTGATTGTGTTTCCTGGGCTGGAAATGCGGGCTAGTGGGTAGAGTGCATCCATCTGTCTGGAGGTCCTGAGTTTAATCTGTAGCACAATCAACAAATCAACAAATTGTAGATAAACAGGATAGCTAAGTTGTTCTGGGAAGCACGGAAGTCAGAAAGTGCCCGAGAGCAGTGTCTTTTTCCAAACCTGGCCTCCTTCCCACTTGTTTCCTTCCCATAGTGCTTCCACCCCCCCCATCCTACCAATGAACCCCCACCAACTAGCCCCCTAGACTCCAGCTGTGGACCCCCCATCTAAGTGCTCTCCCACCTCCCAGAAAAGGGAATCTGAAACTACCCAGGAGACTGTGAGTAACACATATCATCAGGACCAGAGGGGAGTACCAGGTCGGTGCCCCAGATAGCTCATGAAGGCATGTTACAGGCAAAGAAGGTCCCTATCCACAGCACATACGAACAACAAAGCTGGGCCAGCAATCTGCGCCCACCTCCACAACCAGCGTGAACTTCCTCAATTTCTTAACGGTCCTCATAGTCCTCCCGTTGTTCATCGATTTGCTCGAGCGGGCCCAGTAACGTCTCCATCATGAGACTTGTTGTTACTGTATTTGGCATATCAAATACATCATGGGTATCTTGCGAGGCTTTGCTGTGCGGGCAAGATACTCTCGGTAGCTTGCCGGGCTCTCCAAGAGGGGCAGAGGAATTGAACTCGGGTCGGCCATGTTGGCCGCTTGTAAGGCAAACACCCTACTGCTGTGCTATCGCTCCAGCCCCAATTTCTTAACACTTAAAAAAAATCAATTCACCGTGAATTACAAAGTTATTCATGACTGGGTTTCAGGAGTACAAAGTCCCTTCACTAGTGTCCACTGCCCTCCACCAATGCCCCTCTCCCAACCCCACTTCCTTTGTCCTCTCTCCTCCCACTGCAGCACCAGGAGCACTATATTTTCTACATAACTTTCACTCTGTGGTTTAGAGTACTGTTACTAGTCAGGTTTCATGCATGAACTGTCAGCATCCTCTCTTCCTCCTAGTTGACCACTTCCCTCCTCCACTGAAGTGCTCTCTTCCCTATTCACTTTCCCACCCCACCCTCAAAGTGGCATGCATCCCACTGAAGCATTCTCATACTCCTCATTTCTGTTGCCTTTGGGTATGTTACTCCGCTGTGTTTCACTATATCCAGCAAATGAGAAAGATAATTCTGTGGTTCTCTCTCCCTCTAACTTCACTTAGCACAATATTTTCCAGATCTATCCACGCAGTAGCAAATTGCACAATTTTATCTTTGTTTACAGCTGCATCTGTAAACAGGTGCAGCTGTAAATAAATTGGAGTGATAGCACAACAGGTAGTTTGCATGCAGCTGACCCGGGCTCAATTCCTCCACCCCTCTGAGAGAGCCTGGCAAGCCACCGAGAGTTTCCCGCCCACATGGCAGAGCCTGGCAAGCTACCCGTGATGTATTCAGTATGCCAAAAACAGTAACAAGTCTCACAATGGAGACGCTGCTGGTGCCCGCTCAAGCAAATCGATGAACAATGGGAGGACAGTGCTACAGTGACAGTGCTACAGCTGTGTCATATTCCAGTGTGCATATGTACCGTAGTTTTTTTATCCAGCCATCTGTTCTTAAACAATTGGGCAGTTTGCAGATTTTGGCTATTGGGAATAGTGCACAGAATATAGTGGTTGCAAATGTCTTTTCTCCATTGTGCTTTTGGGCCCATTAGGTAATGTCAACAAGTGGAATTGCTGGGTCAAACAGAAGTGCAATTCTAGTTTTCTGAGGAATGCTCATATTGTTTTCCAGAAAGGCTGGGCGAGTCAACCATTTCCACCAGCAGTAAATGAGGGTCTTCTTTTCACTGCATTCATGCCAACGTGGTTGTTCTTTTTGATGTCCCAGTCTCCGTGGTGTGAGATGCTACTTTATTGTTGCTTTGATTTCCATTTTCCTGATGATTAGCTTGCATTTCCTCTTTATTTCAAATGGGTTCCTTGAACTATTCTCTCTTGGTTGTAATTTTCACATCAGATCTACTTAAAACTTAAGATTTTAGTCACTCTAATGTGTTAAAAGTACTGGGGCAAGAGAGATAGTAGAACATGTAGAGAACTTGCCTGGAATGCGGCTAAGCCAGGTTTGATTCCCGGCAAGCCATACTGTCCCCTGAGTACCAGGAGGAATTCCCCACTGCAGCACCAGGAGCAACCCCTGCCTGACAAAGAAACAGTTTTAAAACAAAAGTTTTAGGGGCTCGGGGGCCGGAGCGATAGCACAGCGGGTAGGGCATTTGCCTTGCACACGGCCGACCCGGGTTTGATCCTGGGCATCCCTTATGGTCCCCCAAGCACTGCCAGGAGTAATTCCTGAGTGCAGAGCCAGGAGTGACCCCTGAGCATCGCTGGGTGTTACCCAAAAAGAAAAAAAAAAGTTTTAGCGGCTAGAGCGATAGCACAGCGGGTAGGGTATTTGCCTTGCATGTGGTCGACCCAGGTTTGATTCCCAGCATCCCATATGGTCCCTTGAGCACTGCCAGGAGTAGCTCCTGAGTGCATGAGCCAGGAGTAACCCCTGTGCATCGCTGGGTATGATCCAAAGAGAAAAAAAAAGTTTTAAAAGCATTAATTCTTGGACAGTTACTTACTTTCAGATAGAAATAAAAGATACATAAGACTGTAGAAAACATATCCTTAAAATTAAGTAACTAATAACTTACTCCATTGCAGAAAGATCCATGTCAACTTCTTCTCCGTTCATCAGTGGAATTTTTTTCTTTTTATTCCTACAGTTAAGAAAAAAAGAAAAAAAGAAAACTGTGACATTCAGAGTTTTCAAAGGCAATTCCTTTAAAAAGAAAATACCAGAACTGATTCCTATGTGCAGAGTCAGGAGTTAGGTCTGTGTGTGGCCCCAAACCATCCTCCACCCCCAGCCCAAATTTGTCTGGGTAGAAGGTAAACGGAGTGGAGTAAACTATCATGAAATGTTTGCCTGTTCAAAATTTAACAGAAGCAGACGTCTACACACTGTCATTCCTAGGAATACAGAGATTAAGAGCTGCAGTTTTATACAGAAATGATAAGATACATCAATTTAAAAATACTTTACAAAGAAAGAAAAAAATAAGAATGGAAGGAGGCACAAATATTTATAAAACTTTTATAATTTTTTAAATAATTTTTTAATTATACAAATAATACATTCAGTGAAGGAAAACTGGAAGATACTATTACCAGAATCCATGTCCCACAAAAATACTTTTTCAAAAATAAGAAAATGGTTCAAATAAAATTGGAATGTCCTTAACTAAGCACAGCTATTCATTTATATTAAATATAAAATTATGTGTGTTCATTGAAATTTCCATATCTAACCTGATCCTATAAAAAAATCTATGTATGCACTACAGAGACAAAGAGTAATCCTGTATGAAATAACACACAACAGTATTAATAACAAGTATTTAATATGTAAAAAAATGCAGATTAAAAAAAAGCAAAGGGGCTAGAGCGATAGTTACAGTGGGTAGGGAGTTTGCCTTCGCGCAGCCGACTCAGATTCTATTCCCAGCATCTCTATGGTCCCCCGAGCACTGTCGGGACTAATTCCTGAGTGAAAAGCCAGGAGTAACCCCTGAGCATTTTCAGGTGTGACCCAAAAAGTGAGAAAAAAAAAGGCAAAGCTTCTATATCAATTACCCCCGAATCATAATTTACTGGATAAAACATCAGAAACTTGGGTGAGAATGAATAAAAAAAGGGGCAGAGAAAAGTCATTCTGTATTCTGCACAGTAAAGAATACCTAAATAAAAAAAGTAAGGTGGAGTTCATGCCCAATTCAATCAGCTAATCAGTGGCTGAATAAATAGAAGTACTCCTACATAACAACAACAAAAAAAAAACCCTAAATAGTATTGCCACTGGTTGCTCTGGAGTTCAGAATCAGGAATAATAGCCCCCAGCTTCTGTGGGTATGTATCCCTCCCTGCAAATATCATCAAGTTCAGAAAACAAATTGTTCAATAATATTAACAGAAGGAATATGGGAAAAAAGGTACCATTTCCCCCAAATCAGGCATTCAATTGGATTTTATTTTAGCATCTACCCTGTGAGGATTTATATAGTCTAGTTTATAAAGGGTTTCTTTTTTTGGTAGTTAATACTTATACCTACCTTCTGCTTTTGGAATGGCAGGGTATATCATGTTTAAGGCTGTTTTCTTCAATTTGCAATGTATGATTGAAGGATCCATCTAACTCCTGCACAGTCACTTTAAGTGGTCCCTTTAAAAATGAAGCATGTGTTCAAAGATATTGCAAGGCAAGGCCAGTATTTATTCTTTTTTTTTTTTAATTTTATTGAATCACCATGAGATAGTTACAAGCTTTCATGTTTGGGTTAGCCCAGTATTTATTCTAATAGAGAAGTATAAATATCAAGAGATCAATGTGTTTCTGAAAGCCCAGGAAAGAGGTTGATACCAATGCGAGGGGAGAACTGGGAAAATGTAGGTTCTCTGTAACATCCATCCATCTACAAACACTTACACACATGTATATATGCACATACATGTATATACACTGGGCTCAACTAATGGAGCAGTGATGAGTTTCAGCAGTGCAGGGAGCCATCAGGACGGACACACATACACACGAATAAGTTAGTAGTAGCCAGTTTGCAGTTTATTGAAAACATACACAAACACACATTTAACATACATATAAACATACATTTATGTTTATATGCGTACACAGGAACATTTATATGTAAATATAAACCTATACACATGAATGTGTGTGTATGTGTGTGTGTATATATCTCTCTCACATTCCTTCATAATGACACTTGGTATTTCTTTGTGGGGCTACAGAGATATGACGATGAATAGGGCGTTTGTCTTGCCCAGGGCCAACCCAGATTGATCCCTGGCACTACATATGTTCTCTGAGCTTTGCCAGGAGTGATCCCCGAATGCAGGAATAAGCTCTGAGCACTGTTGGATGTGGCCCCCAAACAAAAAAAAAAACAAAAAACAAACACACAAAATCAATTTCATCCTTTGCAAACACAATCTTATTACCAAGCATCTAACCAGTTTTGTACTTTATATAAACTCCTTCTGCACTGAACCATGAGAAAGCAGTGTGAAAGAGCATTTTGGAAAATAACTTACCACGTATTTTTGAGTTCCAGGAGATGTATAATCCTGTTTTATTTCTAATTCCAAGACATTTCGTTTTCTATTAAATGCAAAACTTCCATAGAACTTGACCACTCCACTCTGGTCTCTGAAGAACTGTAAAGGACTTTTGCATACTGAAATGAGCATGTACTGAACATACTGAAACACAGGGAAATGAATTCATTAAGGCCGCAATAATTCTAAAATGCATCCCCTAGTTTAAAGTTTGGGAATATTCTTTACTGTAAACTAGTGGCAGGTATTCCAAATTCATATACAAAATGTTCTCAAGGGGGTAGGGCGGGCACTTTGTGGTGGTGAAGGTGTCATTAACTTCATATATCAAAACTGTTAAAGCACTAATGTAACCATGTTACCTCAATACAATACAAATTAAAAAAAAATTTAAGTCTAAAAAACGTTTACAAAAATTCAAACAAAATTTCTAAAATATTAAAAATTTGTGATTTCATTTAAGTAAAAAACTCAATTGGGCTGCTTAATACAATGATCTAAAATAGAAAAAATTTAAAATTTCCAAGATAAAACTTAAGTTAGTGGAAATGACTTCCCAGTTATTTCTACCATTCTTTTGAAACTTGAAATAATTCTTACCTCCTTTGAATCCCAAATTTCCTTTTTCCTTCCCTTTACACACTCCCATATTCTTTTCCCCTTGGTTGATGTACTATTAAAAAGGATACACCCATTGCTTTATTAAAGGCTGGATGTCTTTGCCAGAGACATTTGAGATAGATTTCAAAAATCCAGATGTGGAAACCAACATCTGACTCCACATATGCGACTGGAACTTCTGAGATGACGCAGTACTGGCCAAACTTAGCAGTTTATTGAAAACCTACAAGAAGAAGTTAGTTAAGTCTGTATAACATAGTACATATTGCTTTGTAATTCTGTACTCTACATTTACTGTCAATTACACAAGAGAGTAATTTTACATCCTACTGCGTACAGTACTCTCAGTAGACTACTGGCCAATAAGATTTAGATGATAAATCTGTATTCCCTATAAACATAACTGCATTTTCATAATGCACTGGCCAAAGAAGAATAATGTATCTATTATTAATTACACTAGGAACACTACAGAGAATTTGGGAGATAGCCCGAAGGGCTCACAAGCCTCAGAACTAAACCCCAGCACTGATGGCAGGACCAGAGTAGGACGGATCCTAGGCCTGCCGGGCGGCCTGGGGGCCCCCAGCACTGTCATCCAACATGGCCCGAGCACTAAATGTGAATGTCCCAACAATCCCAAGTAGCAGGAAAACTGCCCTGGGGTCCCCCAAACTGCAGCCTGGAGTCCCCTTCCTCCTGAAAGAATTCTTTACAATACCTATGATTATTACGTCACAAGCTTTACATAAAACCTAGCCATTTTTCAATTTGAGGATATTCATTATGATTTATACCACTCTCAGACTATGAACGATCCCTGACTTGATATTTCTGCTCTTGTTAGGAAAGACAAGGGGGAAGAGGATGAGGGGCCGGAGACAGCTCAAAGGGCTAGAGTGCATGTTGGATATCAAGAGCCCCGGATTTGACCCCTGGACCCTCACGGTACCATGAGCACCACAAAGAGCAACCTCTTTGCGCCAGAAGAGCCCCCAACCACTGCTAAAGTGGTCCTCAAACAAAATAAAAATAAAGAACAGAAAGATTTTTAAAAAACTGGGGGGCCAGAGATTTAGCCCAGTGGTAGTTTGAAATTTGTGAAGCAATGTGAAGTAATCCCATGCTTTGTTTGGTTTGGGGGCCACACCAGGTCTCAGGACTTCCTCCTGGCCCTGTGCACAGGGATCACTCCTAGCCTGGCTCACGGGCCATATCTGGTGCTGGGATCAAACCCAGGTCAACAGCAGGCAAGGCAGATGCCTTGACCCCTGTACCATCTCTCTGGCCCCTGAATCAAGTTCTGGAAACAAAGAGAAAAAATCTGCTTCAAGACTAACTTGAAATATCTTTTAAAAAGATTACTAAAAATTGTTCTTCATGGATCTCAGAGGATACTATGAATAGAAAATAAATACCTGATCAGATCTTAATGCAGTGATTTCTATTACATTTCAAATATTTATACCAAAATCTGCTTAGAATTATGTACGATTTATTAGTACAAGCACAAATATGGCTTACGGACAGTTTTTTTTTCTACTGAAAATATTTCTAAATGGTGCTTGCTTCAACTTAAATATTCTAAATAATGACAAACACAAAATCACATGCACAAAGTTTGAACTTTCATTGCTAGGTTCAAGTTTTACTTTTACAATAACACTGTAGTGAGCCAAGTCAGGAATTACTCCTGGCAGTAGTCAGGGGACCATGTGGGATGCTGGGGATTGAACCCAGCTCAGAGGAGTACGAAGCAAATGCCCGACCTGCTCGGCCGCTAGGATTTAGAATTGTTAAGTTCTTAGTCATAACACTTACCTGTAGCATAAATTCCATACTGATTCTATTTTCAATCAACCTCATCACAAGGTGAGCTTTACACTGAAACATCGTGTAGTATTCCCAGGACAGTGTATGTGGATGCTTTATTGAGAAGTGTAAATGGGATGCTGGACTAAAAAAGAAACGAACTGGCTTAACACAAACTTTAACATTAAATAAATAATAAATCCCATAGTCATATCAAGACAAGCAAAACCTCATGGAAAAAAACCTTAGCAATTTTTTTTTAGCTTAAGTGTAGTAAAGCTAAGACATTCAGCCACAAGAAAATTGCAATGTTTTATAAAAAAGACATAAAACCCAGGCTACATAAAAAATTTTAAAAATAGAAGAGATAGGATATAAGAGAGAACATTAGTAAATTATAAGTATAATCTAATAAAGAAAATATTTACAATGTATGTGAAAAATTAAAACATTTGTAATTTTTGACTTTTTCAGATAATGCTGTAGCATTTTATAAAATAACATTTACACATGTGAAAGAATTTCAGTATGGTAAAAGCTGAGAAATAAATTTCTATGATAAAAAACATGGAAGAATTCTTAGTACCAAATTACCTTCAGAAAGACTATCAAATTCTCACAATCAATGTGTAAGCGCGCTCATTAAACCTCTTTGAAAACAATGATACTGGATAACAAAGATGCTATGAGGGCTGAAACTCAAGCTTTGCATGCCGAAGCCATGGGATCAAAGTCTGGTCCTTAAAACACTACAGCACTAGGTATGCAAAGCCTCTCCCAAACAAAACAAAACAAAAAATCCCCAAAATCCTAACCAAATAAAAACACCCTCCTCCCGTTGTTCATCGATTTGCTCGAGCAGGCCCAGTAACGTCTCCATTGTGAGACTTGTTACTGTGTTTGGCATATCGAACATGTCACAGGTAGCTTGCCAGGCTTTGCTGTGCGGGCGAGATACTCTCGGTAGCCTGCTGGGCTATTGAGAGGGGTGGAGGAATCGAACCCGGCTCGGACGGGCTGGCTGACAACAATGCAAATGCCCTACAGCTGTGCTATCGCTCATATAAAAACACAAGACATAATTATCTGGGGGCTGGAGTGATAGTAGGGTGCCTGTCTTGCACATAGCTGATCTGGGTTTGATCCTCGGTATCCCATAATGTCCCCCAAGCACTGCCAGGAGTGATTCCTGAGTGCAGAGACAGAAGTAACCCCTGAGCACTGCCAGATGTGGCCCCAAAACCAAAAAAGAAAAAAAAAAAAGTCTGTCAATCAAATGTTGGAAAAAAGTAGTACCTTCATTCCCCTTTTTTGGGGAGGGGGGAGGGGAGTCTGTAAGTGGTGATGCCTGGGGGCTACTCCTGGCTCTATATTTAGAAGTCACTCCCAGCAGTGTGTGTAGAGGGGAAACTGTGAGAAGCTACTGGGGCTGGCAGCATGCAACGCAAGCCCTAACCCTGTACTACACTCTGGTGGTAAGAACAGATGTACTTCTAAGCTTTAGAGTTTATGGTTTTTAGCAATGAACAGAAATATGGAAAAGACTAAACAAATTGCAAGACTTATGGAACAGTACTGTATAGCTCTTAAATAGCACAATTAACTCATATATAGTTAAATGAAATGTTTACCACAGGTAGATATAGCAACATCATAAAAAAGAAAGTAATATTTCGTTAAATTACATTTAAAAAATGCCAGATACATCATAAAGACAGAAAAAAAAAAGCAGAGCACAGAGAAATTAAAGATAAACATGGAGGAATGGGAGTGCCTCCGGAGCACTATGATGGCTGTAACTCAATAAACATAAGCTGCCTGCAGCACAGGAGGGGTGAGAGTGGGAATAAACCAATGTTATCCAATGTCTAAGTAGTGGATTATTCAGGTATCATTAGGAAGTTTTGACACTGAAATCATCTGGTAGTGAAAGTATGGTAGTCCACTTGAGATTTATAGAAATTACATCAGTAGTTATTAAGATAGTATCTGTTTTAATTATTTTTAAACTTACAAGCAAATGGAAACAGCTTTGGTAGCATTAGAAAATTAACATGGGAAAGATAAAGAAAAGCCATGTTTTTTAAGACTTTTTAAAAAGTTCTCTATCCATTTATAACCAGCACACTTAATAAAAATAGTAAAGCAATGAAAAGAGTAATGAAAGTATTGCCAGCGCTGGTCAGCTCAATATTATGCACTACTATTAGGACTTCTTAGGTGGGCCTCAGCATACATTTAAATGATCCTAAAAGAGTGATCCCATAAAACATGGTTTATAATGTCATCTCTGGACGATAAACATACTTATCCTTCTCTTTTCCTCCTCCAAATATAGGATGTAGTAAAACTCCACCAGTTTTTAGTTCATATGCCACTATTTTGTCCAATTCCTAAAAAAAAAAAAAGACATAAAAAAATAGGGCTTCAGTGAAAATATTTTTACATATCAAATTTAATAACTGAACTAAGGAAATTTGTTTCCAGGAATCAGAACATAAATTTCTTGAAATAAATAAAAAGGAGTTGAAGACAAATGTTCTCCTATACAAAACAGCCCACCAGTGGCTGAAACCGTGCAGCCAACAAGCCTCAACACTGACTGTGTGAGGCCAGTAGTCTGGAAGCGTTTGAATCAACCTAATCTCTGTAACAAATGTTCCAAATCTATTTCTTCAGATTCTGTATTTTATCTTTGTGTTAGGGATTTGTGCAAGTAAAAAAAGGGATAAAATTATGACAGAAAATCCATCACTTTGAAACTTCTATAGTCACTTTGTATACGAAAGAGATTAAACTAAAAAAAAAAAGGTGGAAGAAAGGCAAAGGATTGTGCTGGAAACTCAAGCCTAATTTATATAAAGTGGCAGAAAGACATAATAAACAACATAGTGAAGAGGTTAGTCAAGGTTGAATTTCGGCTTTGCTACTTACTAGCTATGAACTGAACAAAGAACAACCAGATTCTTCATCTATTAAATGGGAACAGTAATAGAGTGGTGGGGAGGATTACAAAGTTTCTAGCAGTGCCTGATACATTGCAAGTACAAAGCTACTGATCCCCTCTTGTATTATGTTTTCCAGACAACTGTAGCTCAGAGGAAGAGTGGATGTCTTGTAGGCATGAGGCTGTAGGTTCAAGCCCCAGCACTATAATGTATATATATGTATATATACATTATATATGTAATGGGCTGGAGCGATAGCACAGCGGGTAGGGCGTTCGCCTTACACGCGGCCAACATGGCCGACCCGAGTTCGATTCCTCCGCCCCTCTCGGAGAGCCCAGCAAGCTACCCGTGAGGTACTCGATATGCCAGACACAGTAACAACAAAGTCTCCAATGGAGACGTTACTGGGCCCGCTCGAGCAAATCGACGATCAACGGGAGGGTCTTTACCTTTACCTTTATATATGTAATATATGTTACATATATATATGTAAAATATATGTATATATTTTTCCCCTTTGTTTTAGGGTCATACCCAGCAGTGCTGGGAGCTACTTGTAGCTCAGTTCTTGGGGGTCATTCCCAACAGAATTTGGGACTATGCCAAAGATAGAGCTCAAGGTTCCTATGCCAAGCATGGGATCTACGCTCAGCTATTTCCCCCATCATAAAAATACCTTAGGGGTTAAGGTGAAGGTAAAAATACCTTCATTCGTTCGATCCGAGTTCAATCCCTAATACCACAGTGTTCCCTAAGCTCCAGTGAGTGCCACGGGGAGACCCAAACAGCCCTGGGTATGGTCCTGTAAGCCTTTGAGCCTGCATCCTTGGACCCGCACACTGAACTGCCAGAGTCGACTTAGCTGAGAATCCTCAAGAGGCACCCCTGGGCTCTTGCGCACTATTTACAAGGATTGCCCCAATAATAAAAACTAAGATGTAGATACAGGCCAGAGTCCAATGAGTTTAGCAAATGCTTTTTGCATGTGGGAGGTCTAAGTTTGATCCTGAGAACCACAGAATTCTCTGAGCACAGCCAGGAGCACCACAAACACTGCCAGCGGGGCCCAACACCCATCCTCCTCCCCCAAATGAAGACAGACATGGCCACAATGGACTAAGCAAAACACAAGCTAAGCAATACATAAGCCCAGATCCTTTTTGGACAGATTTTTAAATAAACAGGAAAAAGGGGTAATAACACTGAAGATATATAAACACTACCAATATACACAAAGCACACTACATGTATGACATCTCATAACTTGTCCTATTCAACCACCAGTTCAGTCCATGCACCAGTGTCTGTCCACAGAAATTCTCTGTAAAAATCACCTCTGAAAGTTATTGTTGCCTAACTCACAACAGTTTTCAACAGGAGGTGTAAAAAGGTTGAAAACCACTGATATAGACTATGCAGCACATGCTATTCATTATACACTTGACACTTGGAAAGAGTAACCAAAATCATAAAGCTTATAAACATGTAAAGCAAATATCAGTGATCTCATAGTGATATATGGGTTGTAAAATCTAAACAAATTTAGGAAGTACAAAGTTGTATTATAAATGACTAAAAGGACCTAGGCTTCATCTAAAGACTAACTCGATGAATACAGAGCATAAATGATCTCTTTCTTCGAGAAAAAGTCTTTGGAGCCAACACTACAAAAACCTAAGTAGAACAGATCATTCTAGATAGAGGTAGAACCTAGCTGTAGAGAAGATACTTCCAATGCGTGAGGCCCTGGGGACAACCCCCCTGGCTACAACACTCACCCCAAAACAGTCATCAGTCATCTTGTAAGTGAGGCAAATTTTATGTTTAAAAGAACAATTAGAGACCTTCACATGACAGTAAATATATAACAATTATTAAAGAACGTGCAACTTTGAAATCAGAACCCCAACCTGTCCTCTTGACTTTCTTAGTGGATAATGAAGCAGCAGTCTTTACCTCTTTAATCCAATGGCGATATTCATTAACACCAAAAGTTTTTTTCATCCAGAGTCCATAAATATAGCCAGAAATTCCCTTTAGAACCCATTCATCAGACCTAAACCAAAGTTGAAATATAAACTCCTTTAATGCACATAAAATCTTTAGAGAAGACCAAAGAGGACAAAAGAAGAATGGAATGTATAATATTCTGCTTCTTAAAATCATTAACAAATGATTGGTTTCCCACTTAGTCCAACTTGTCCTTTCATTGAAACTCCCCTCATGCCTGGCACTACCTAATTTAAGTGTGAAACTCCTTCACATTCTGCTCCCGAGGAGGAGTTGTTTTCCTCCTTCCCATCTTTGCTCACAGTCCTTGCCTTGAAGTAATTACTTGCCTGTACCCAGGAGTGCGCTGCTCAACTCAAGTTTGCCATCTCAGTTTCAATTCAGTGCATAATTACCAGTGGAACTCTGAGGTCTAAAGTTACTCATTAAGAGAGAATACAATGAACAAGAAAACTTGCTCATTTATTCATTTATATACTCATGAATTTATCCATTTTGCCTGTCATGCTTCAAGAATTATTCTTGTTGGAACCATTATGTCAGGAAACTTAAAAATCAGTATTTTTCCCCTCGAACATTTCCCTTTCAACAAGAAAAGAAAAACAAGATTCACATACTACATAAAGCACGGAGTGGTCAGAATTAGAAATTATAATATTTTGGCCCCACCTGGCGGCACTCAGGGCTTACTGCTGGCTCTGTACTGGGGCATCATTCCCAGCAGTGCTGGGGGACCATACATGGTGCTGGGATCAAACTGTAGTTGGCTGCATGCACAACAAGTGCCTTAACCTCTGTTCCCTTGTCTTTCTGGTCCCTATTAATAGAATCTTCAAGGAGCTTTGGACATTTTTTTTTTCAAATTCATCTCATAGTAACTGTTCTAGCCATTCATATCTTTCAAATACATTAAGACACAGTGAATTACCAGCAGAAAAATCCCCACATCACCACTGCCGTAGAGGACAATTATTTTAAAGGGCTATGAAGGTTCATCAACTACTACCCTGAATGTTACCAATTATTTCAAACACTGATATTAGAATTCTAATTATACTTTCTGCATATTTAAGCCCTCTTATCTACATTATTTATTCATTTTTTTTAAGGAATAAAAGCTATTAGGGCTAGAGAGATGGTACAAGAGATAAAAGTTCTTGCCGTGCATGAAGCTGACCTTGGTTCTATATCCAGTACCACCAGCAGTGATCCTGACCACAGAGCTAGGAATAAGTCTTGGTCACCAACAGGCCCAAAGCAAACCAAAAACATTATTTTCATCAAAATTTCCTTACCTCATTTTGACTGTAAGGTGAGAGTACCTATACTGATTTCATTGCAAACATGAAATTTATATACTCATTATTTTCAACTATTTACAGAATTGTGTCTCTTAATTATCTACACTTTTCTTTTCCATTTACATTTACAGGAAAATAAAATTAAATTCTCCTGATTCTTTTTCTCATCAACTGCAAACTTTGAAATCACTCACCAAGACATTCTTGATATGAAACATCCAAAAAACTGCTGGGCTAAGGACTGCGCTAAACACCTTCTAGTCAAAGGAGTCTCATCTATAATCATGGCACTGTGTAAGAGATTCGTGCTAGAATTCAGAAGAGACAACTAATTAAAATCAAGAAATAAACAATTCTTCAGTCAAAATAATTGCACTTTTAAAATAAAGAGATCTCCTGGACATGAAAGAGAAAAATCAGAATATTCTAAGAGCTTTCACAAGAACTTTCGCATATTTTCAAATTAAGCTGAAATCAATACCTCCAATGACTTTCACTTAAAGCAAGGAATGCATTATTTTCCATGAAAAATATAAACAGGTATTTGGGGGAATAAAAGGAACCACAAACAGATGACAATCAGATACCAAACTTTGTATGAAGGGTTTTCTAAGTCTTTTCCTAGTAATATTGTATTTATGCCTCACTATTACTTCCAAATAAATCAACTACCCAGCCCTTCTAAAATCACTCTGGAGTGTGCAAGAGCAGTACTGACACCATTTTATAAATTTAGGCCCCAAACAGGTAAACTGAGGAGCCAGAGTGATAGTACAGTGGTAGGGGTCTTGCCGTGCATGCGGCTAACCTAGGTTTGATCTCTAGCATCCTATAGGATATCCTGAGCACCGCCAGGAGTGATTCCTAAGTGCAGAGGCAGGAAGAACCTTTGAGCATCACCAGATGTGGCCTCAAAATAAAACCAAACACTAAAAAACAAAAAAAGGTAAACTGAGTGACCCTGAGATATAAAACTTATAAAGTAGGAACTATTAAATAATAAGAAAGAAAATGTGAGTGGATGAGAGGGTAGAGTTTTCAAACAAATTTCCAACAGGATCAATATATTCTTAAATAGTACTGAAACCACCAAAACTAACTCCCCCATGATCCATAGAAGAATTTGGATAAAAAAAAAAGCCTAAGCAGAAAAGAAACTATAAAATATATGAAAAATACAGGTATCAATTCTAAAGAATGATAATGAATCTTTGAGGTTATATTAAAATAATTTTTCTACATTTTAACATTGTATAATCACTAAAAATCTCAACAAAGCCCACCATTCCAAAGTAAAAATGGTTAAATATACTATAAAAATTTAAAAAAAAAACCTATGCTATAAAACTATAAAATCAATATAAAACACAAATCATATACAATATTAGGGTAAAGGTTTTTGCGTCATATCACCCTAATATGGACATTTCAAAAATAATTTTTAATTTGGGCAACACTAGGCAGTGCTCAGGGCTTAACTTCTGGCTCTGAACTTAAGAGATTACCTGTGGTGGGGCCTGGGGGACCATATGGGGTGCTGGGGATGAAATCTGGGCCGGCAGCATGCAAGGCAAGTGCCTTACCCATTGAACTATCTCTCTGCCCTACTATCTTCTGAAGAGATACTGACCTAAAAATACTCATAGAAGCATAAGCGGCCACTTCAACATAAGCTTCATCAATGAACACGGTTTTGAAACAAGAATATGGATACCGACACGTAAGAATTTCTTCATAGAATTCAAAAACTTCATGAAGGTATGATGTAGTGTGTTTAAGCAATGGAAGAAGTTGTGGTAAACAAAAATGAGTAACCTAGAAAAAAAGTAGAGAAGATCTATTAAGCATTAATTTTGTTAAATTCTAGAAATAGCTCAATTATGAACAAAACCACATTATTAATAAAAAATATACATTCAATGCACTAGAAGGAAATTCTGGCATGATTTATAAAAGTGATTACTTGTTCTATGTTTACAAAATAATTATTGCACTTAAAAATTAAGTTCATAGGGAGCCAGAAATATACATATGTGGGAAAAAGGGAGAAAGGAAAAGAGGGAGAAAAGAGGCAGGTGAGGAGAAGAGTGAAAGGGGAGAAAGGGAAAGAAAAAGGAACCATTCTGAATTTCTTACTAGATTATATTCTTGGACCTTGAACACAGACACAAAATTATCACAATCTTGCCCCGTGTTCTGATCCCATGGCATGTTAATGGATCAATGACAGAAACCACTCTTACAAGAATGACATACTGGGGCTGGAGCGATAGCACAGTGGGTAGGGAGTCTGCCTTGCACGCGGCTAACCCAGGTTCGATTCCCAGCATCCCATGTGGTCGGTCCCCCGAGCACCACCAGGAGAGATTCCTAAATGCAGAGCCAGGAGTAACCCCTGTGTATCGCCAGGTGTGACCCAAAAAGCCAAAAAAAAAAAAAAATTACATACTAAGGTTTCATTTAGACTAAAGAATGTGAGTTAACTGAATTCTTAGTGGTTTATTTCTTTAAAAGGGCCACCAGCAGCACGGGGGGCAAGGATCCATCTAGACTATGAGTGGTCTATCACCTGAACTCTCCTCCCAGCCGAGCTAACCTTTTAAAAGTCTGACTGGTACAAAGATGAAAAAAAGGACAGGCCAAGATAGAAAAAAATAATATGGTCCATCAGGAAAATCTAAGCAAACTATATAGAGCATAACCACAAAGAGGAAAAGTAATTTGGGGAAAAACTGGAAAGCAAACTTCAAGGCAAGTTCTAAAAAGACTGCCAAAGTGAGGTAAAAGAGTTCAGATTAGAGCCAGATGGTAAAGGAAAACTACACGATGAAAATACTCTTTGAAAAGGATCACGAAAAGGGCTTGCCATAGAGGCAGGCTGAGGGTCAGGAGGCAGTTGGGGGTGGGGGGAGGACAACTGAGGACATTGGTGCTGGGAAATGTACACTCGTGGAGGGATGGGTGCTGGAACACTACATGACTGAAACCCAATCATGAATAGCTTTGTAATGGGCTATCTCATCATGTAGATTCAATCATCATCATTCAATTCATCATCATCTCATCATGGCGATTCAATTAAAAAATTTTTTTAAATTTTAAAAAAGGATCATGAAAGATCAGTAACTAGAATAGCACGAAGGCTACTGTAGCAGTCCTGTAAACTGTGAAGCTTCAAATCAGAAAATAGATATAAAAAGAGCAATAAGAATAATAGCAAAAAGACAACCATCTATATAGTACTAATAATCAAGGCAAACTTACATAATGATTAGAATATGTCTTTGGCATACAAAAAGAAGCCAATATTTACATTCATCAGAAAAGATTCACTATAAACAAAGTTTTATGATAGTTCATTGATTCATAACATGGTAAAGCTATCTGACGCAGAAAAAGACTAAGTCATAGGCTTTAAATATTCAAAAGAAACACTGGTGACTTTCATTTACTTTTCTCCCATCCAGTGGCTCAAAAGGAAACATCCTTCCAAAACACATAATGTATACAAATCTATACTGATTTTAAAGTTGATCATTTACCAAAGACAATTAAACTCACTGCCAGTTTTAGCAGTGAATACAGTTTAGGAGTCATTGTCCAGACAGTAAAAACAAAATTATTCACAATATATATCGAATATTTGCTGAGTGATTTTATAAATCCTGTGGATTTCAGGAAAGCAATCATAAGCTGTAGATCGAGGAGCTCAGAGCTCACATCAGTCTAAATCTGGTGCCTTCAATTTTTGCTCATATAACTAAAAAAAAATGCTGTTGAGATGGTCACACTATAAGCCTTATATTAAAAAAATAAATAAAAACACTAGAATTACAAGAGATTCATCTATAATTTTTTAAAAATTTATGTAGAAACCAAAAAGATTAATAAACAATAAATGACTTTCACCTAGAAATCTTATTGCTTAGAGATGCCCTATTTTTAAGATTATATTATCCGTGGCACAGAATATAGAAAAGAAGAAACCCAACTCTCTCAGATGTCTGCTGGCCAGTTTCTCTTTTATTCTGCATATACTGAAGTGAGAAGTAACCTTACTTTTAATTTTGAAATTGCAATGTTTCAGATTACAAAGATGGAACAGCAATATTCATAAATCAGAAAGATAACAATAATAATGAAGAAATGTTAGAGTTCTATTTATATTCTAATCAATTTAAACTTCTTACGCTTATTTTAAATGTCAAGCTCTCAGGTGAAAAAAAAACTGTAATTCAAGATGGCAACATTTTGAAAGGAATTCATTTCAGAATTCACCCACTAATATATCACATAAGGAAATCTTTTCTCCCTACTGATACTCTTAATCAGGAAAAACTTGGTATTCAATAATGCCCTTCTTTTTAATCAGGAATGACAGGATGGGAGGAAAGAAAAGAACAAGCAGATGTGACTTACTTCGTGCATGTATGGATCTACAAGTATTTCAAAAGGTCCAATGGCCAAGGAGATATTAGACGCTGCAGTTGGAATGGTGAGCATGTAATGGAAGGTCTTCTTTCTCATATCATGGGTATATACTGTCTCCACCAAATCTCCATTGGAAACAGCCACCATTGCAGCATCTACTGTAAATTCTAATTTCCAAGTGCATAATTCAGAGTATGAATCAACACATGGGAACCAAAATCTAGGAAAGAGAGTTGACAGTATTAAAATGCTGGAAGTGTAATCTGGACATTTGTTTTCCCCATATGTCACATAAATCGAAACCTTTCTAAAATTATAATTTGGCAATACAAAGAAAGTATATCATGTGGTCATCTCAATCCAAACTCTAAAGAGGTAAGCAATTCTTAGTTTCCACTTTTCAATTAAATGTAATTTTCAGTTGTGTGTTCACATTACTGTTTAATGCTTTACTTGATTCAGTATGAAAAAAATATATATAGTAATTTTTAAAAAACATAATTCAAATTCTATTCCCTAAGACAGGAAATTTTGTTTCCTGGACTATGCAATGCATCAAATGGGTCAACTCAGATAAAAACTTTCCATCAGTTTAGGGGAAGTATTACATTCTAGGATCTACAGAAAACAAGACATCTCTGGCTTGTGGAAGGAGTTAATCACCGCAGAGTACCATACTACAAAATACCAATTCCATAACATGTAGTGAACTATACTTATGAGAATGAGCTATAATTACACATGCTAACAACAGAGATAAATCTAATATAAAGACTACTCAGCACTGCAAGCGGAACTGTGGGCATTACTAGGAGTGATCCCTGAGCACAAAGCAGGAGTATACCCTAAGCGCTTCAGTTGTGGAAACCCCCACAACTCCCAAAATGTAACTTGTTTGAGAGAATCAAGCGCATAAAACCCTATTTTATAGTGAAATATGTATTGCACATATGTAGGAAAACTGCAGCTGGAAATAATATTTAAATAAGAAAAAATTCAAAATCTACCTTGTAGAATTTTGATACCCACAAGAGAAAACATGAGCACCTCTCTCCGCCATACTTCCCTCTACACTGGGTACCACAAAATGTAGGCCTCCTTTGGGCTGATCCAAAGAAAAATTGATGTGTATCTTTAAGACCTTCAATTCTGCAAAAGAAGCAAATTCATTGGATACAAAAATACATAATTTAGCTAACAGTGACCTATATAATAAAAACAAAGACCTACTGAATCGAAAATGAGGTGGTCAGCAGGTCACCTAGCTTCACATGAGAAACCACACAGGCCAGTTCAGGCTCTCACCATCTCTCCACCTATATACCCAAGCAGCAGCGACTGATGCCCTGATCACCCCCCAATTCTAGTCACTGCTAGCTCTGTTCTTTCAAAATATAACTCTGGTCATGCCAGGTGTTCCTGACAACATTTCTAACAGTGCTACACTGACTGCCTAAGGAAAAGGTTTAAAATTCTCACATAAGACACATTCAGGCTTTCCAGATCCAATCTAAAACTTACTTTTCAAGTTTGTCCTTTAGTTATATGCCCCTGCAGATTGTTAACTGTAATGGGGGAGTAAGAGAGGAGAGGGAGAATAGATGTTCAAGAATTTATATTATTCATTATGATGATTTGTTGGGCTGGAGCGATAGCACAGTGGATAGGATGTTTGCCCTGCACGCGACCGACCCGGGTTCAATTCCTCTGCCCCTCAGGGGAGCCTGGCAAGCTAGAGTATCCTGCCCGCATGGCAGAGCCTGGCAAGCTCCCGTGGTGCATTCGATATGTCAAAAACAGTAACAACAAGTCTCACAATGGAGACGTTACTGGTGCCCGCTTGAGCAAATCGATGAAAGGGAGGACAGTGCTACAGTGCTATAGATGATCTGTTATCTTTCTCTGTAACAAATGTTGCTTTCATAGTTAGATTAAAAGCTGACTTTAAATTTTCTATACTAAAATTACTAGATCTCTAGTAGCAGATCATGTAATGATCCTTCCCTGCTTGTCTCCTAATTTGTACCCTTTTCAACCACCACCCTTCTCGGAGAGCCCGGCAAGCTACCGAGAGTATCTCGCCCGCACGGCAGAGCCTGGCAAGCTCCCCGTGACGTATTCGATATGCCAGACACAGTAACAACAAAGTCCCCAATGGAGACGTTACTGGGCCCGCTCGAGCAAATCGACGAACAACGGGAGGGCCTTTATCTTTACCTTTACCAACCACCACCCACAAAAGGGAAAAAAAAAACCCTACTTTTTTTTAAAAAGTAATTTTTTTCTTGTTGATCAGTTTTTTTTAAAAGCTAGTTTATATAATGGTAGTTATGTATATAAAATAAAGTTAGAATATTTAGAAGAGCAGTAAGTTTATACAAGAGAAAGAAAATTATGAGTACTCTCAAAAGTAAAAAGAGTAGGTTCAAAACTATGTTCTAACTTTCGTCTATTGAGCAGGTCACTACTTCCTTTGGATTTTACATCAGTCTTCTACATAAGGAAGGGATTTAACCAGGATGTTTCTTATCATTCATGCTACACAATGCTGTAACCGTAAACTAACTTGATATTGTGTGAGCTTCTCAAATCTTAAATTGTTCCATGCACCCAATCTTTTTTGGTAACTTTCACCTAAAAAGCAACAGTGAAATGAGTCTCATTTTTCATCAGTCTTTCACTCTGATATTAGTCAGTGAGCTTCAAGAAGGCTTCCAATGCCCAAATGATTTAAAATATTTAATTATAAATCGACATCAATTTTCACATAAATGCTTCTAGTCTCTGAACTAACGTGATTTAACTGGACAGCGAGTATATTCTTGGTGCTTTACCATCGACATGTTTCCATAACTCCGAAGGAACCTTAATACAAAGTTCTCCATTTCCTGCATCAGGATCCACAGCACTAACTGCAGCTGCATAAGCATTGGAAAAATAATTAAGATTTCTCCTAAAGGAAAGAAAAAGCAAACCTTAGCAACAAGTCAAATGCTTCACCAATTATTTTCTCAAATATCTGACACCATTTACTTATAATCATATTTTCTTACCTAATTCTTTCAAATAAGTCAACTGCTGCTTTATTGCCCATGACAAAAATTATAAATGTCATGGTCCCCTCACCACATATGCAGTATAATTATTAATTACAATGATCACTCCATTCTCCATTCATTTTGGATTGTCAAAGCCACTATGTTTTTCTAATACAAGAATAAAGAACATATGTAAAATTAAAGCAGCAATTATTCTTTACCAATTTGACAAAAATTTGAGTGCATCAACAAACTTTAAAATCTGACAGTGGAATATTTTATTTTAGTTTTTATCACATGATTATAATAGTGTTGATGTTCATGGCTTTGGTGAATAAAGTTACAGTGACTTCACTACCAAAGGGGGGAAAGTGAAACCTGTAATTGTATGTGGAAAAGTGAAAGCTTTTCACTTTTTTACGAACAGAAATTCTAAGAGTAAAAATAAGACTCATCACAATGTTAATGGATCAAAAGTGATCTCAAAATAGGAAATATTTTAGGTGAAGAAATACGCTATATTAGAAAAAAATATTCTTGTACAATATTCTAGAAGTAAAAGTAAAGTAAAGTAAAGGCCCTCCCGCTGATCATCAATTTGCTCGAGCGGGCCCAGTAACGTCTTCATTGGAGACTTTGTTGTTACTGTGTCTGGCACATCGAGAGTATTTGATATACCAGATTCTAGAAGTAGTTAAAAAAAATTATAGACTATTTTATAGACAAAAAAAAAGCTCGATAGAGTAGATGGATGATTCACATGCAGGCGGCCAAGCTCAGTCTCCGAAACTGCACGGTCCCGTAAGCACTGAGTAGCAAATGGCTCAAGAGTACCACCGGTGTGGCCTAAAAAACAAATGGGAGAAAAAAACTGCCTCTGGTCTGCACATTGCAGTGAAGAAAGAGCCAACCCACTAAAATTCACATTTAATATACGCTGAAGTAATTTGTTTTTGTTTTGGAGCTACACCCGGCAATGCTCAGGGCTTACTCCTGGTGGTTCTCTGGGGGACCATATGGGATGCTGAGGATAGAACCCCGGCTGGCCACGTGCAAGGTAAGTTCCCATCTCATTGTACTATCTCTCCAACCCTGAAGTTAATTATTTTTTGAAAACACTAAGTTTGGCTGAGTAGTACTCTACTGTGTACAGGAACCGTAGTTTCTTTATCTAGTCAGTCGTTCCTGGAACCTGGGTTGTTTCCAGATTTTATGAAATCAATGCAATTTGCTGCTATGTGGATGGATCCAAAGAGTCTCATGCTGAGTGAAGTTAGTCAGGAAACATAAACAGTGACTGACCTCCCTCACATATACGATATAAAGAAGGAAACAGCAAACACCCAAAGTCATGAACACAGAAGTGGTCTTTAGTGAGAAGTTACTAGCAGGTGGGCGCGGGAGGGGCAACTCTGGGACAACGGGGAGGGAAGCAGACCTTTGGTGGAAGCTGCGATGCTGGAATGTTTTATGCACCCAACCCTACCAATAACAGTATCATAAACCATGGTGCCTATAACAAACTTTAAAAGAAAATAAGAAAAGTAAAAAGTGGCTAAGAAAATTGACCTAAGGTTCTTAGACACTACTTTTGAACTGTGCTCTAAAGAAAAGAAATAAATTAAACCTTTTCTTTTTTTATTTTGAGGTTAGTAAATTTTTTTCATAAGCAGATTTTCTCAGTAATCTTTATTTTTGTTATGTAGGAGTATAGCAATTTATTCAGTCACTGATTAGCTGACTGAATTGGGCATGAACTCCAGCTTATTTTTTTTTAAAAAAAAATTTAAAAACACTCAGAAATATATTTGTTTTCTATTGCTGGTTATGAATAACATATGATGTCGCGTGGCTGCAGTAGTGGCCTCGCGATTTTGAAATTCCGAATTTTTTTTAAGCAGAAATCTCTTTTATATTTTTTATTTATTTTTAAAAAATTTTTATTAGTGAAACACCATGAGGTACAGTTGTAGAGTTACAAATTTTTGTGCTTGGGTTTCAGTTATACAATGATCGAGGACCCATTCCTACACCAGTGCCCATTCTCCACCAGCACGAATCCTAGTATCCCTCCCACCCCCAGCCCCCCATCCCACCCTGCCTCTGTGGCAGGGCATTCGCTTTTGTTCTCTCTCTTCTTTTGTTTGCTGTGGTTGGCAAAAGAGGAATTTAGTGGCAATCCTGTTTAGTCTATAGTCTACTTTCAGCATGCATCTCCCATCCTGGGCGGATCTTCCCAACACCCTTTATTTGGTGCTCCCTTCTCTATCTGAGCTGCCTTTACCCGCAGCGTGTGCGGCTGGCCTCCAAGCCATGGAGTAAACCTCCTGGTACTTATCTCTGCTATTCTTGGGTGTTAGTCTCCTACTTTGTTACTTTATGTTCCCCAGAAAAATGCAATCTTTCTATGTCTGTCCCTCTCTTTCTGACTCATTTCGCTTAGCATGATACTTTCCATATAGTACCACTTGTATGTAAATTTCATGACTTCATCCTTTCTAACAGCTGCATAGTACTCCATTGTGTAGATGTACCAAAGTTTCTTTTACCAGTCATCTGTTCTCAGGCACTCAGGTTTTTTCTAGATTCTAGCTATTGTAAACAGTGCTGCAATGACCAAACAAGTGCAGATGTCACTTCAACTATACTTTTTTGCCTCTCTAGGATATATTCCCAGGAGTGGTATTGCTGGGTCAAATGGGAGCTCAATTTCTAATTTTCTGAGAATCGTCCATAATGTTTTCCAAAAGGGCTGGTGGGCATTCCCACCAGCAGTGAAGGAGGGTCCCTTTCTCACCACATCCACGCCAGAACCAGTTGCTTTTGTTCTTTTGGATGTGGGACAGTCTCTGTGGTGTGAAATGATATCTCATTGGAAATTCCAAAATTTTAACACTTAAATCCGGAGGAATTTCTGCCAAAACCTGTGGGTTCCAAGATTTGTTCCTGAGTCTCTGTGATCATGGCCGTTAAGCAGCTTGATCAGGATCCAAAAAGGCCGTTCATGGGTGGCAACTTGGAGTCTCATTGGGATGGAGAGGAAGGAGCCAGCTCCAGCCCTATCCCATGAGGCCCCACATTTCTTGTCACTGAGGGCCCAAACCTGACTGCCCAATGGCCTCTGGAGGATGGTGGCCACTGAGCCACCTAGGGGGAGCAGGAGGAGGGACAACACCTTTCCCCCCTAGGGTGGCTGAGGGTTAGTAAATTTTACGAAGCAAAATGGTAAAGCAACAGAAACTATAATTAGGGAAAAAAAAATTGGATCCAGAGCCCAATGCTAATCTAAGAAATGCTTCCTGAGAGTATTTAGAAGCTAATCAGGGGCTGGTGGAAGTGATAGTATAATGAGTAGGAAGTTTGCTTTGCAGGAAGCTGACCTTGGTTTCATCCTGGCACCACCTAAGCTTCCCCAAGCACTGCCAGGAGCAATTCCTGAGTGCAGACCCAGAAATAGCTCCTGATCATTGTATGACTGAAACTCAATCATGAAAGCTTTGTAACTGTATCTCATGGTGATTCAATTTAAGAGAGGTGGGGGGGGGGGACGACACAGAGAGAGACAGAGAGAGAAAGAGCCCCTGGCATAGCCAGGTGTGGCCCAAACACCAAAACCAAACCAAAATGAAACTAATCATATAAAGATGATTAGAAATAAAGCTTTAAAGTCTTTAACTTACTGTTTTGATTCATTGTGACAAACCTCCAAGGTCGGATCATTGTAAATAAAAGCAGCTTCTAAATCATTGATCCTTACTCGGTAGATTCTACACTGTTTGCTGTTCAATTTGATTCTATTCAGGTTTGCAACCGTAGGAAATATTGTCAGTTCCACAAATCCCTACGAAGAATAAAAATGCCACATTATTAAGATGAATATGTTAAGATCTTTAAAATTCTACTTACATGCCACTCGAGACAGAATCCCAAATTGCTATATATGGATGTGTTCTCCAAGTGACGTCAGTGGGCCCCACGGGTGACTCATGTGAAGTGGGGAGGAGAAAAACAGTGATTTTCTCCCGATCCACCTCTGACACTTGTTACTGGGTTCTTGTCTCGCCTTGCAGAAAGGAATTTCAGGAGTAGGCGAGTAGTGAGATTACACTTTTTATTTGAAGGTTTTGAAGGGAAGGAGGGAGAAAAAGTAGGAAAGAGTAGAGAGTAACCTGCTACAGAGAGAACCTGGGCTTCTCCAAGGGCGGAGAGTGCCACTACACACATCCCAGCATTAGAGACGAAAGCATGAGAGTACACATCTCAAGAAAGATGAGGGTGACGCATGTGCTCAGGCACCACATGTGCTCGGACAGATGGGCGCAAGCAGTATATGGGCTCGGCCAGCATATGTGCGCACTTCCTTTGTTCAAGGTGGCTTTTATAGTGTCTCTTCAATCTGTCCCCATGCGGGGCGTCTACCTAAGTCAAAGTCTGTTGCTAAGGTGGTTACCAGGGGGATTGGGAGTGGTGATGGTCTTTGAAATTCTTTCCTGGCCTTTTGTTTCTTCAGGAGCTTCTCTGGGTCAGTTGCTGTAAGTGGGTGAGGGTTTTATTGGCCTTGGTTCCTGTTTTTTCCTGTTTTCTTCTGCGGGTCTTAACTTCAGGGCTGTTTCTTCCCAGGAAATCTTTGCCATTACCTTGGGAAGGGACCTTCCTTATCCTGCCTACATCACAGCACCTTCATTTCAAATGCACTCGTAAAAGAAACCAAATAATGTAAATTATGTATCATCATCTTAGTGGACCACACTCACTATCAGTGAAAATTAGACAATCTGCATACAAACTTTTTTTTTCCAAAAACTCACTATTCCTAATATAATTTCTAGATAAACTAAAACCTAAACTAGGATGAAGGAAAAAACAATGAAACACAATCAGGCTACCAACTGAAAGAATCTGGCCCCAAACGGGGGAAAAAAAAAAACGCCACACCATTAAAGCTACAAATATGTCTGATCATCTGGTCATGGGAGGTAAATCAGGAGGCATGATACAGCAAGAACTTACAGGGGATATCAGGCAAGAAAAAAGTCATTATTTGCCTCCATGAGCTTGGCTGATTTCCTTCTGAGTAGTTTCACAAGTCATATATGTATATAGTTCTACCATGTTCGCTATGTGAACAATCAAAGGGACAGCTCATTACACGGACTGCCACACCTCTCGGTGTTAGTCAAACGGAAAACCAGAATAATGAAACATTACTCTATGTGCTGCCACTTTAACATCCTGGATTGAAAGTTGATATATTTAATCAACAAATATGGGAAGGCATGAAACTAACACTTCAGGGACTATAAAATGTTAAGAGGAATATCGAAAGTGAAATACAAGTAGCAACCAGAGAGTTAGATCATAATAATGAATGAGCAGTACAATGCACAAGACCATACACCAGATACTTTCATATGTTCTCACTAATACCCATAACAACCCTAAGTGTGGGTATTACTTTATAATTTTTACAGGTAAGTAAAAAAAAACATGAAGATTGCATAACTGTAAGCAGAACATTAAGATCAGAACCCACATCGAGATGTTTCTGAGATTCCCATTATACCACAATGCCATTCACAGAAGGCTTTTAAATAATATGCAAGAAGTTTTAAAGGTTTCATCTAACTGCCCAAAAGTATATAGACTTTGCAGTGCCCTTTCCTCCAATTCCCAAAACAGAGAGTCAGACTTTCGAAAGTAGACAATCTGCACAGACTCCTGAGTAAGCAGAGGGGGACAGAAAGAACAGAGCCAAAAGTGTGTGTTGAATTTCCTTAGGGAGGAAGACAAAAATTCTCTAAATTAAATTATCAGCAACACAGTGAGGAAGCTACATAACTAAACTTGAATGAAATCAAAGAGAGCAAGCAGAACCAGAACAACAGAATGAGTGAGCGCAGGGAGCCAGGGAGATAGCTCAAAGGGCTAGTGTGCAGACTTTGCATGTGGGAGGCACTAAGTAACTCCCGGTACAAAACACAAGCCAAAGAAGCGAACTAAAAGATAAATTACCAAGGCAAATACTGCCAAGTTAGAGATACTAGCAGGACATAAGAACAGGGCCTGGCTTAGCGAGCTAAAGTGCCCACTAATAATGGGTAAAGTGTATTTCATGACAGGGAACGCCCCAGTCTTCTGCATCATCTCTGACACCACCTAGAGTCCTAACCTATGCCTGCCTTCAACACTCAAACCAACCACTGAAAACCACTGCTTTATACTGAAGAACCAGGGAAAGATAATTTTGTTGTTTAATGCTTGCAAATGCCGGCAGTGGTTATAGGGGAGGTGTGGGGGCACTGGGGGACAAGACATTCTCAGGATTAACCTGGGGCACAAATGCAAAGCCAGCGCTCCTGCCCTTTCAGTCACCTCACAGCCCATGCTGCCGGCACTCAAACTCCAGCTTCACCAAGTGTATGATCTTGAGTTTGTCTTAGTTCTCTGCGCCTTTATTAAAAATAAGGACACTTCCTAACTTTTGATGTTGTTATGATAGCTAAGCACTGTAACACAAAGAACGCCCTTAAAATCATCAACTGACATGAATAAACTCTGAGGATTTTCCACTTCTTTTCTCTAGTGTTCAAAGTTAAAAAGGACACCAGTCTTCATTATGCCTTATTAACATCTCCCCAACATTCAAGGCTCTCAAGGGAAGGCTCTCACTCTCCCTTTCTCATCCCTGGCCACCATCACTTTTAAATGACACAAATGCAGACAGACATGTTGGACTCATCTATTAGCACCACTTTAAATTTCCCCGTGTACATCACCCAGTTCAGTGTGCTAGGATTGTTCCTGGGAGTGCCTAGAGAACTATGCAATGGCAGGGCTCAAATTCCAGCCTCTGGGCCATCTCCTTGGCCAGTTCCTACAATCTCCACTTCCACTACTTGAATGTCTACAAAGCCCACAAAGCTGCACTTTTCCTTCTCTCCCGTTCAACCACACAACATTCTGCTCTATACCTCTAGTTGCTCACAACACACCTTCCTCGGGCTTGTAAAGCTACTCCTTCTTTCACCCAGGATCCTTAACTTTAACTTCTGTTCTGCCAATTATCAATTCTCTGTATTACATTACTTTCCTTGATTTTCCTTCCCTAATTGCACTATAAAGAAAGTCACAATCACAACAGTCCATAACTGTCTCCAAACAAGAATACAGGAAATGCGGCAATGGGCTCTTGCACCGCAAATTTAATCATTTTACTTGTGCTCTGTGCTTCTCAAACACAAGAAGGCTGCATGATCACTTGCTGCAGTCTATTAAAGCACCAACAAAGAGACTTTCAATAGAAAGTTCGTTTAACTAACAAAGAGGGGCATCTCTCCAGAGCTAAGAGACCCCGGAATTAAGCAGTGAACACAGTTCTACAGTTCCACTATTGTCCCGGAAAAGCCACTTAAAAAGTTTCTCTTGTTTGGGACCATGGGCTCTGTATGGTGGACAGTCCTACCAACAAAGGTAGGAATGGGCCCCCCACGAGTGGCTCTCCAGCACGGCCATGTACCCAGAGGCACACGGACCTAATGAGATACGCTACTGAATGAGATACCAACTGAACTCAGCAAGCCCACAAGCCTTAGCTTCTGCATGCAACAAACTTCTCTGATGGGCTAATGGTCATTTCAAACCATAACCCCAATGCACACTAGGTTAGGACCGATTTTCCTGTTCTATGACAAATTCGGAGGAATACAATTTTAATCAGAAAAATAAGAAAGAAAATAAGAGGAAGGGGAAAGAGAACTGAAGAAACCTGCAGTCTGGTTGCAAGCCCATAAGCCTGCAGTTAATGAGGGATAAGCACTCCCCCCATTTTCTTTTTTCGGATGGAGTTGGGAGAGTGGTGCATCCAAGAGTGCTCTCCACTAATTTCTGGCTCTGACCTCAGGGATCACTCTTGGTGTGGTTGGGGGATCGGGGGATCTCAGGTGACGCCCGGATCAAACTCAGGCCAGCAGCTTGTAAGGCCAAGTACCTTACATGCTGTACCATCGCTCCTGAACATTTATTCTTCCCTACTCTTGAAAACCTAGTCAGGTGACAACAAAGATCCCAAATCTCACCCCGGGTGCAGTTACTGACTGTCCCTTTACTGGCTGCGGCTCTACTCACCACCACAGACTTCCTCTGGAAGTTGATGTTGTTGATGCAAACGACCTGGTGGGTTGTACATGGAAAGAGACGGAGAGGAGAACATCGATTACTCAACCGAAACACAATCCAAGGCACCGACGAAGGCTGCGTGCCCAAATCTATGTCAAGTTCCGCTGCAAACCCTCTTTCTTTTTTTTTTTTTAAATGGACTTCCCTAGAACTTCTTTTTTTTTTAATTGGCGATAGCACACTCTCCTTGTGCGAATAGTGGCATCCACAATTCCGAGACCTTCTGGTAAGGTGCTTATAGTGGAGGCCAAAATGCAAACCCTTTTACTTAAGTGGGGTGGTGTGGGGGGCGGGGGGGGGGAGAACTGGACTGTCGACAACTTTGCAGACACCCCGGAAAGGTTTCTCTGAACAACGCAACAGCCTCGGAACTTCAAGAAAATGCCCAACAATCTGCCTGGGGGGGGGGGGGGGGGGGGGGGGCAATTCGATCTAGTGAAAAGTACTGTGGCTCTATAACTCTTCCCTCCATCCTCTCAGGCTCCCGATTCGGGATCTATCGCCCACGCAGGTGCCTCTGGTGGCAGCAGCCGCGTGGGGCTCCAGCGATCACAGAAGAGCACGGCAGAAAACTCAAACCAGCACAGGCCTCCCGGGAGAGGAAAAATACTTATAATTTATACGGCCGGGGGCTTTCGAAGCCCTTGTCTCCCTTCTTCCTGTTCATTCTGGCGGACTCAATCCCCGTCGGCGGCATGAAGCGCTGCGGCGGGGTTGGGCTCCGGGGTTCCCAGGACCATGCCCGGTCCCGGCACCTCTCTCCGCGCTGCCCCCCGGGCCCCGGGCTCTCGGCGACCCGCCCGATCGGCCGCCGCCTTCGCCCCGAACTCGTGCGTGGGGGGTTTGGCGCCCCTGAGCCGCCTCCGCCCGGCTCCTACTGCGGGGATGCTCCGCTCCGCAACTGATCAAAAGAAACTGTCGGACGACATCTTGCCGTCACCTCTGACCTCCGACGTCACCGGAAGCGGGGCGGTGCCGGAAGCGACGTGCTGCGGGCGTGCACCCGGCGATTTTTTTTTTTTTTTGGTTTTGCAGCTACGCCGAGTACTGTGGGTCGGGGGACAGTTGTTAAGCATTTAAGAGCGTGGCTACAGCTCTTTAGTGGCAGGAGAGGGGGAAGCAGCAGGAAGATTTATTCAATTTTAGGGCTAGGTGCTCTGCAAGCACACGTGAGTGTGAAAACCCGGTTTGGGGAGAGCCAGGGGCTGGGGCTGATAATTGGGACGCCTGCAATTGGGAGCCCTTTGCTGGGAGGTCAGACTCCAGATGGACTTATCCTCTGCTGGCGGAGCCACTGCTGGCCTTAATATTTTTTTAATTCTATCACTTTTAGCTTGGGGACAATATAAGGATGTGTTCAGGATCTACGCCCAGCCGGCTGTTTCAGAATCATGATGCATTGAAAATAGAAGTAAATCACACACACACACACACAAAAGAAATCACAATCAGACCACAATCATGGTCTGATTTCGGGGTGTAAACTCTAATAAATGATGCATCTTTTGTCGAAACAATGAATCTAATCAAAGTAAATAGAGTGTTAACTAGAATTCATCTGCCTCACAGGCATTGGGAGGGTTGGGAGGGGGGTTATATTGGGGTTCTTGGTGGTGAAAACTAAGTACTGGTGAAGGGAAATGTGTTTGATTGCATGACCGAGACTTAAACGTGAAAGCTTTGTAACTTTTCCCACAGTGATTCAATAAAAAAATAAATAAATCACAAACAGAAATATGGAAATAAACACTTGAAAAAAACAAAAAAGAATTTCCAGAATGAATGTTTCTAATCTCTGAAAATTAAGGTAGATACAGATGGCCAAAAACAATTTACTTGGAGAGGGGGCAGGGCTTCAGGGGTGCTGGACTTTGGTGGAGGAAAGTGAGAACTTCAGTGGAGAGCGGGTGGGGTGGATCTGTGCATGCATGAAAGTATCATTAATGGTACTGAAAATCACAGTACCTCAATTAAAATAGGAGGCAGGAATAAATTAAGAAAAAAAAAATTCCAAAGCTGGAAAGAGTCCTGGGTTAAATCACTTTTCTGGTATGCAGTGGATTTGGGTTCAACTCCAGTGCCACCAGGAATAAGGTAAATAAATAATCTAGGTGCCCAGATAGTAGATTAGTGTTAGTTTTGCAAGCAGCCCACAGGGTAGGGTTCCTAGCACCTACATCCCTGCACGGAAGGGTGTGGTCCAAATCCCTGCCCCCTCTCCCAATAAAAAGTCCACAGACGCCCGAAAATTTTATTGCAAGCTGGGAAAATATTTACAAGCCACCGGATTAACATTTCATGTGCTTGAGAATAGGCACTGCAGTCGATTTCAGTAGCAGTTAAATTTTATTCTTTTGTTGCTGTTGCTATTGTTATTTGTATTTATTTATTTTTTAAATTTTTATTAGTGAAACACCATGAGGTACAGCAGTTAAATTTTAATGGTGAATCATCCATTAACAGTTTGTTAAGTCTTGGACCAGTTTTAACTTAGATCTACCTAAGTAGTAAAGTTAAAACTTTTGGTAACAAGTTCATTACTAAATTAAATTTAATCTGAACTCTGCCCTGGATAATAAATTAGAAAAAGCAACGCTATAAAGGAACTTTATGAAGCATTCCAACACTAATTAGAACTACTTGTTTTCTAGTATGTGTTACCTGTGTGAGTGTTCTCCTTTATAAGGTAATAAACTGCACTATTAATATTCTTCACAAAGGATTGCTCACCAAATCCATTTCATCCCAAAGTGGGTATCTGCGCTAATCAGGGGATATGGGAGTACTGAGCTGATGTCATGGGGACAACTAATTTAGATAATTATCACTAGATGATACCAAGTGTTTTGGTGAAGTATTGCAGGTAGAGGGGAAGCCAATTGAAAAATTATAGATGAATAAATAACTTTTTTTTTAAAAAACAAACTAGTTCTCTTAATACCCTTGAATTTTCTAATGAATAGAATATCAAATCCTGATTAAAGACATATAATTAAAATTTGTACAACAAACAGGTAAAGGTTTTCTATAAATATGTAGAAACAAAGATATACTAAACATAGGAAATAACACTGTCATTTGTCCTTGCTTATACTGTGCACATAATATAAACAACCTGAAAAGCATAAAAATATCCTGCTATGGTTAAGAAAAAAGAAGGGTGGCATTTCAAAATGCTTACGAGAAAAATGCTTCAAAATACCGGACTTTTAAAGCTTGTGATACACGTAAAAAAAATAATTTTCTCATAACGAGCAATTTTATAAAGCAATAATAGTCCCAAAAAACGTGTTCTTTTAAGATATGGGTCTTCTTGAATTATAAACTTTGATACCATTTTGCATCGAAGATCGAGAATATTTAGTAAGTAATGTGCCTATGGTTTGCTTCTCCCCACACAAATCTCTGTAGGAATAAAAAGAATTAAACAATGAGTGGCATGAATATTTTAAGGAACCTAACAATATTCACAGTATGCTATTTCTCCCATTAATCCATCTTTCCAACAAAAGTATAGGACAGAGCTTACTTGAACTTAATCCTTTTGAGGGGGAGTAGGGAGGGGCACATTTGGGAGTGCTCAAGGGGTACTCCAGGGCCCTGTACTCAGAGGTTGTTCCCAGATATACTAAGGGGATCATGCAGTGCTAGAGATTAAACCCAGTCCACCTAATGCAAAGCAATCAGTCAGTCCACTGCTCTCTTTTCAGCCTCAAATACTTTTTTCTTATTTTTTTTTTGGGGGGGGGGCGGGGGTACTGCCACATCCAGCAGTGCTCTGGGCTTACTCCTGGCTCTGCACTCAGGGATCACTCCTGGTCTGGAAGTATTCAGAAGACCCTATGTGGTGCCAGGTATTGAGTCCTGGTTAGCCGCATGCAAGGCAGGCATCCTCCCCCATTGCTCTATTCCCAGTTCTTAATTACATTTTAACTGAACTAAATGCATTACATCTATAATTTTATCTCACCTAATCTTCCCAATAAGTTTAGTGCTATTGTCTTATTTAATAGCATATTTGATCTGAGGAAACTGAGCTCAGACAATTAGTACAGTCATATAGCCTGGCATCTTATTATCTAGTTCTTACTCTGGAGAACCTGGCAGGCTACCAAAAGTATCCTGCCCACACATCAGAGTCTGGCAAACTCTCTGTGGCGTATTCAATATGCCAAGAACCAGTAACAATCATGGGTCTCATTCTCCTGACCCTGAAAGAGCCCCAAATGTGGCACTTTTTAAAATCTCAGGGCTAAGACGAAGGAGATGTTACTGGGGCCTGCTCGAGGCAATCGATGAACAACAGGATGACAGTGATACAGTGATAGCCAGGCCTATATGCTTCAACCTTGGTGATTCTTCCATGCCATCACTCAGTTTCTAAATTGCAAATACAAGGAATGTCATCAGAGTAGGGAGAAGTCTCAGAGAAACTGTTTTCTAGATTACTTGTGAGCTTGTGAGGTTCCCTGAATTTCAGCATATTTTGTATCCCCAAAAAGAGAAAGTCAGATTATATACAAGAGGCTGAGGGAGGAGCAATGGACTCTGATTTAATTCTGATTAAATGGGAAGCCATTAGCAGTGGCTTTTGATGAGCAGAAAGGCATAAGATGATCAAAGCTCTGACAACGGGGGAATTGGGTTGACAGTTATGAAAGCTGGGTGACCAGGAGAGTTTATTATTATATTGTTACTTTTGGGCTGGAGCGATAGCACAGCGGTAGGGCATTTGCCTTGCACGCAGCCAACATGGCGTGACCCGAGTTCGATTCCTCCGCCCCTCTCGGAGAGCCCGGCAAGCTACGGAGTGTATCTCTCCTGCAGGGCAGAGCCTGGCAAGCTACCCGTGATGTATTCAATATACCAAACACAGTAACAACAAAGTCTCCAATGGAGACTTTACTCGTGATACATTGTTACTTTTGAGTATTTAAATTTTCTCTGAAATAATATTTAAAAGAGGGAAACAATGGGCCCAGAGAGACAGTACAGCAGTAAGGCACTTGCCTTGCAGCAGATCCAAGCTTAGTCCCCAGCACCCCATCTAGTCCCCAAAGTCTCACCAGGAATGACCCCTGTACACAGAACCAGGAGTAAGCCCTGAGCACAGCTGGGTGTAGTTCAAACAAAACAAAAAATTTTAATTGAAAAATAAATCAAAGGGGGGTAAAAGAAAATAAGGCAGAAATAGGAGAAAAAACTATAGGGGATCTGTTTACATTTGAATGAGGGGAGGAATACAAGTGTAATTCTAGACCTTTTGCTTTAGTAACAAGATTAATGGCAGCTCTCTTTACTGAGGTGAGAAAGATGAAGCAGACAGAGAACCAGTGGTTTTGGTATGAGCATCTCATGGGGAAAGCCAATGGGAAAGGTTGTAGGATAACAGTGGGTTTGTCCTTTCAGCCTTGTCGCAGGGAACTTAGTTTACCCAAAGCAATGTCCTTTCTGTATGGACACAGGAAGACAATAATATTATGCTTTGTAACTTAGGAGTTGATTGATTCCAATAATATTTGCTCCTGGGCATCTGCTCTCTCGACTCAGTTGTCCTTAGCTCCTAGCACCCCAAAAGCAGGGTCACAACGAGAGACTAAATGGACCCGGGCAAGCTGTGAGCTACCCTGACATCGAAATGGGCCAGGCCAAAGCGCCACAAGACTCAACTATAAGTTGAGAACATGATCATAGACAAATGCTGTCATGATCCAAAAGTAACGATGAGACTAGGACCCTGCTGGGGTTAGGAAGACTAATCTGACCTAAGGACCGTGGTCTGGAATATATAGTAAGACGTCCTCATGAAGAACCAAACTTTTAAGTTGATATATCTCTTACTGTGCTCATAAAGAATGACACTGCTAGAAATATTAGAAGTAGATTTACTACAACTATTTAAGTGGATTACTAGCTGAGGAAAGAAGAAAGTGACACACCCTGAATGGGATCCTGCCCTTAAACAGATCTCCTAGTAATCCAGAGTAATCTCTTTAGATGAGATTTTATCCTTGAGTTAATCTCCTGGAGGAGTGGTCTTACACTTCTTTGCTGATTTGTTAATGTTCAACCCTCCTTTGTTTCACCACTCTATGTGATTGCTATATAAACTAAGACTATAGGAGCGGAGCGGGGCAGAGTCAGAATCCAGAGTGAAGGGCTCCATAGAGAGAGATCGAAGAGACCAGAGAAGAGACTACAGAGACAGAGTCAGAAATAGACAGAAGAGAGCACAGCAGCACGCACAGAAGCAAAGCACAAAGGAGGAGCCATCCCAGTCCGGTCCATACACAGAGGCTCGAGAGCACCAAATGCGGGCAGCGAGAGAGAGCTGCTCAGAGAGCCCGCCAACAACACATCATCATCTTTGCATCCCTCCCCCGACTGCGTAAGATATTTGTTTTACAAAAGGTCAAGTCTGAAGATTAAAGTATTAAGGTGCTAGCACCAGAGCAATAGTACAATGGGTAGGGCATTTGCCTTGCACATGGCCAGCCTGGGTTAGATCCCCATCAACCTATATGGTACCTCAACCCATATGGTACCTCAAGCACCACCAGGAGTGATTCTTGAGTGTAGAGACAAAAATAAAACAAAAAATAGGTAGTCACAGAACTTAAATCTAGGCCTAATGCAAGCATCTAGAGTCTGCTGTGTCAAACAGTGGCAGTGAAGGTCAGAGATGCTGCCAGGGCTAGAGCAATAGCATAGCGGGTAGGGCGTTTGTCCTGCATGAGGTCGACCAGGGTTCAATTCCCAGCATCCCATGTGGTCCCCTGAGCACCGCCAGAAGTAATTCCTGAGTGCATAAACCAGAAGTAACCCCTGAGCATCATCAGGTGTGACCCCCCTCCCCCAAAAAAGATTAAAATGCTGCCTTGCAGCGGCCAACCCTAGTTTGATCCCGGGCACCTCATGGTCCCCTGAACACAAGAGCTAGGAGTAGACACCAAGCACCACCATGTATATGCCAAACCACCTCACTCCTGCACATGTGCACACATGTGGATGCACACACACACAAACACACACACACACTAGTGATAGTAAGAGACCAATCAATCAAAGACAGACAACTGACCGTGGAAGGTGGAAAGACAACCAGAATGTGAGCTGAACTGGTTGAGAACATGTGTTGCATTAAGGTGTGGGTTCAATCCCCTTCACACCTGATGCATGGTCATCTGAGCACCGCCTGGAGCAACTCCAGAGTACCGCATGTATGGACCCCAAACCTAAACAAATACTAATACTACTAAAAAAGAGAAAGATGTCATTTTGAGAAAAGCAGAAAGGATGGCCTCTGTGACAGAGAGCAGAGGGCATGGAACCAGCAGGCGGTTGTACTTTTACTTGCCCTGCTAAACATGATCCCTGAGCAAAGAGTCGGAAGAAAACTCTGAGTACAGACAGATGTGGTCTCATAAAGAAAAGGGACAAACAGGGCTGGAAAGATAGCATATCAGGTAAGACGCTGACCAGGTTAGATCCCTGGTATCCTAGATGGATGGTTCCTGAGCACCATAGGACTGATTCCTGAGCACAGGGCCAGGTGTGGCCCCAAAGCAAAACAAAACAAAAAGATGACACACAGCCCACTTCCAGAAACAGATGTGGAGAATGCTAGAGAAGAGAGATACCACTTGACAATGTTGAAGTGTAACTGAAGCTGTGACTTTAGGGAATATACCTGCCTACTTTTAAAAATTATGTTCGAATAATAAATCGAGAGTCCTCTATCACTCTTTATGAAAAGGACCATCTCTTCCAGTCCCCCAATACATTTTCATAGATTACTTACTGGATATATGGAGCAATATCTTCCTCCGTCCACTTCTCCCGTACAGAGAAGAGACTATTAAAACGCTCCTGATTACCCTCAGGTAAGTCATCTACTTTAAGCAAAAATATGATTTCTGGCCTGGAGTGTCTATCCACCAAGGCTAACCCCTACAAGAGAAGGAAAAGGACAGTTAAAATATTGGTTTCATGATCTCATGTCTAAAGACGACTCATTCTTTTACCGTTACGTGTCATGCACTTAGCCAGGGCATTTAAAATGTCAGCAATATTTTAAAGCTCACACAAACTTTTAATTGCAGAGACTTAGAATGTGCTTTTCCATAGCAAGAGCTCCTTTAAGCGATGACATTCGTTTTTACCATGACCCATTTATCAAGATGGTTTTTGAACTCATCTCTCTAGCTCTGTTTCCTTTGCTAATGCTGATCACATCTTCCTCTTTGAGTTTCTATTTCTGATGTGGCGGTCTTGAGGTCAAGAAGAAATGAATCTCTTCTGGAATTGATGCTGTAGTTTCCTGGCCCATTTGCTCCACTGTCACTATCTTGGAATATTAACATCAGTCTCAACAGGGCTAGAGAGATGCTTCAGCTGGTAGCAGATACCCAGGCTCAATCTTCAACACTGCATCTGGTCCTCTGTGCCCTACTAGGAGTGAGCCCTGAGCAAAAGCCAGAGTCATCATGAAGGATCAATGGGCTCAAGGGCTCTCAGTGAGGTGGTACATAAAGAATTAACAAGAATTCCTTTCAAAACGGGGGATTTTATAATATATAAAATTATACTGCAATAAATGTTGAGGTTTTCGAAGGATTTTGTGATGGATTGAATGAACAGTGCGTTCCTAACGAGTTGCCTGGAAAATTAATCAGTTCCAAACTCAGTTCCACTCGAAGTTTGAGTTCCCTGGTACTTAATGATAAACTGTTGTCATTACCTTAAGCTGATCAAGGTTGGTTACCATTCCTTCAGGAACACTCTGTTGCCACACCTCTTGAAACTCACTGAGGTTAAATTTCACTGCATTCTGCAGTAGCATTTGGGCTGTTGCTCTGCATATTTTGTCAGCACTCAGTTCAAAATAAACTTCACCTAAGAAAAAGGTAGCAGGTAGTTTCACATTATTGTCTTACAATTAAATATACTATTTACATTCCATTTTCCTTAAAACAATTGCACAGAATTTCACACAACTTACATCCCACAAAGCCATGGAGTACTTGTTCTGTTTTGTTTTGGGGTCATACCACCCATGGTGCTCAAGGGATACCCCTGGTTCTGTGGTGCTCAAGGGATACCCCTGGCTCTGTGCTCAGAGATCATTCCTGGCAGTGCTCAGGAAACCATATGTGATACCAGGGATCAAACTGGGGCAGGCCTGGTCAAGGTAATTCTCTCACCCTTGTACTATCTCTCTGGTCCCAACATCATGCAATTCTTTTAAATACAAACACACTTCAGAAAAGGGCATACAGTTTTCAATATACAGGAGCTAAAATATCTATCAGAATACTTTCCAAATCTTACCTTCTTCTATATATTTCTTTCCATAACATTTAAGGCAGTGTTCAATCATCTCCCTGAAAAATACAAGCCATGCATTTGAAAAGTTACCAACATTTTATGCATGCTATTTAAACCTGACTGCTAATCAGAAATTAGATATCAAGTTGAGTTTTTAACTTCTAAGTGATATGTTTGATAGTTATTTAAACTGGAAATTAAAAGATACTGGGGAATTACTATGTGCTTAAGTTTTCATGGGAATGTTTTGGATATACATTTATTTATTTTTAAAAATTACTTTTTTATAGTATTTTCATTGTAGGAAAAAGATGCTATATATTTATTCAACACAGTGAACAAAATTCCCAAGTTCTTTTTCATTGATTATACCTTTAGTGATATAAGATATCAGCATTTAAATAGTCTGTGCTTCTAGTAGCTGGAGAGAGAGAGAGAGAGAGAGAGAGAGAGAGAGAGAGAGAGAGAGAGAGAGAGAGAGCACAGGGTTTAAGACACTCCCCAAAGTAAATATGCATACAATCCCCTCAGCACCACCAGGGGTCACTTCTGAGCACAGAGGTGGGGTTAGACCCTGAGCACCAGCAGGTATGACCCAAATCCCACTTCCTCCTAAATCAACCCAATAGTCAGAGTGCTCTACCCCTTAAGGAAATCTGGAGGGACAAGTAATTAAAATGCTTACTCTGGCTCCAAAGGCCCAAGTTCCTGAAGGCACACATTCAAAGGAACTTTACTAAAAGACCAAGATTCAGAATCCACAAGTTGAGTCACATGATTCAGAAGCTTCATTTCATAATCAAATTCAAGAATCCTCCAGTAACCTACAAATCCCAAAAGTTATGCTTACCAAAAAACATTTTAAGCAAATTTATAAACTGATCAAGTAGCAGTATACTGCTTCTCACTGCCCAAATTAAAAAAAGAAAAAAGAAAAAAACCTTATTTTTTCAATAGCCTTCCTTTAATGCTTTTCTTTAATTCAAATGTGTTTTGCAGATGAGTAATTTTATATATTTGCAAATGCTCTAATACTTAATTATCTCACAGGAATCTTCTCATTTTAGGCGGAAACGTGGGAGCCTGAAGCTGGTAATATCATTTCACTGGAAATCAGACAGATGAGGTCATAGGTTCGATTTCCCTCACTGTTTATCTCTGTGTATAGCCCTGGTTATCTGTTATCATAACTCTTGCAGAGAGATTTCCAAATTCTTAAACCCCTCTTTAAGAAACAGTTGATTCAGGGGTACAAAGTGGATCAGTGGCAAAAGATTGAGCACCAAAATATTGTTCCTGGGGCTGAAGCGATAGTACAGTGGGTAGGGCGTTTGCCTTGCATGAGGCCGACTCGGGTTTGATTCCCAGCATCCCATACGATCCCCCCAGCACTGCCAGGAGTAATTCCTGAGTGCATGAACCAGGAGTAATCCCTGTGCATCGCTGGGTGTGACCCAAAAAAAAAGGACAAAAAAATTCCACAAAATATTGTTCCTTGTTACATAAAAAATTATGAAATGCTAGGGTGAAGGAGATGTCTGAAAGGGCTTGAGTGCACAAGGGCTTGGCATGCAGGAGTCCCAAGCTCCATCCCTACCTTCTCCCCCAACCATGAAATACCATTTTCTATTCGAAGATAGAACCACTATCCTTTGAGAAACAATCAAACACACATTCCAAAGGGAAAATGCTGTTGCTGTATTCTAGTAAAATAAAGGCAACTTTTTAAAAAAATGGAATGTGTCATGTGAAAATTACAAAGAAAGCTAGAAATCCATGCATCCCTCACCAAGATTTTTACCCATTCCTAAGCAGTAAGTGAATAATACAGAGGGATGTGTTAAAATCCATACTTGGAGTTTTCTTCTTTAAGGAGGGCTTAAATAACTCAACATATAGCCTAGAATAAGTCGGTTTAGTTCTTTTACTAATTATAAACAATGAAGAACATATTGATAACCAAAGACCTTTCTCTACCTGACATAATTCTTCTATTACCACGGGGCGGGGGGAGGGGAGACATTATGAGTAGGCACTAGTCACACATAAATCTCATGTACCCCAAATATGCAAACCTCATGTACCCCAAATATGCAAAAGGCAAAGATGTCCAAAAGCTTGTTTCTTTCTCTTTCATACAACCAATTCCATTATTATTAATAAAAAGAGTAAGGAATGCTTACCTTCAATCTCACAGGCATTTAGAACTTGTAATTGGGTCATGATTTCTTCTTCGCTTGCCTGAATTAGATCAAGCAAATCTTCTGTTGTATACTGAAACAACAACAATAACGAAATGGTTTAAGGCTACTTGCAGAAAAATATTTTTTTAATATTCTTTCTAAATGTTGAGAAATATAATACACAGGACAGATAAAAGCAGAATTTGTATACTGGCTCAGTTTCTTCTGTTAGTAGGTAATAATTTTACATGAAATCAATAGATATCCTAAAAGAAAAAACGTAGGGGAAATGTTTGTGATGCTGAAGTTGGCAATGATATCTTAGGCATGAACACCAAACCATAAATAACAAAGGAAAAATATATAAATTGGATATTAATTAAAATAAGAACTTTTGTCCTTGAAAACATAATCAACACAAAAGGGCAAATAATATATGATTCTCCTTTCATAAGGTATTTAAAGTAGTTGAATTCAGAGAGAGAAATTAAAAGTGTTTACCAAAGGCAGAGGAGATTAGATTAGGATTTTACAAGTAAGTGGTCATGATGGAGGAACAAAGTGAATATACTTAATGCCAAATAACTGTACATGGAAAATGATTAAGCTGATACGTTTTGCACCAGGGAGCCACATATTTGCAGACATAAGCCTAGGTTTGAGCCCTGGGTTTGATCTGTGGTACCACATGGTTCCCTCCCTCTACCCCACAAGAGCCACCATCTATGGCACCCACAAAAACATTTTTTTAAAAAAGAGGAATCAGTTTTACAAAAAGAACTTCCAATACAAATGTAACTTTTAGAAAATCAGTAGTGTTCTATCTTTTTGAATTACATTACAAACTTTTTTTTTAATCGGCCTGTAAATATTTCCATACTTCAGGAGTCAATCAATTCAGGTATTAGTCTATTTTTCATTTCTTTTCTCTTTTTTTTTTTTCACTTTATGGGTCACCCAGCAATGCTCAGAGGTATTCCTGGCTCTGCACTCAGGAATTACTCCGGGCAGTGCTCGGGGATCATATGGGATGCCAAGGATCAAACCAAGTTGGCCACATGCAAGGCAAACCCCCCACCTGTTGTATTATCACTCAGGCCCCTATTTTTCATTTTCATAATGCCTTCTCTTGGGGTACCTAATTATAATTTTTAAGAACATTTAACTTCTTAAAAAAACTATTATTTCATAGATAGAAACATGAGAAGCATCCAGTTATATAAACAGAATTATGAAATCTAGGATTTGTTTGTTTTTGGTTTTGAGGTCACACTGAGTGATGCTCAGGGGTTATTCCCAGCTCAGTGCTTGAAGAAGCATGTGGGGCCAGAGATCAAACCTGGGCCTTCTGCATGCAAAGCCTGTTCTCCAAAGGATTGAACTATTCTTTTTGGTCCCCAGGATTTGTTTTAAAATACTTCAGGTTAAGAGGCCGTAGGGCTGGAGGGAAGAAAGAATGAGAAGAATAGCAGGAATGAGACTAATAAATGTTCAACTGCACAATGATACACAGGAGTCATTACAAAGCACCCTCTTCTTTGGAGTACTGTCATTTCCTTCAGAGAAGCTTTAGAGTTTTCACAACCTAACCAAGAATGAACATTAGGTGCTTCTAATATTAATTCTATTTTTTATTCCGTATTTAAAAGTGAAACAAAGATTTACCTTAGAGCGATTTGACTCCTTTTCTTTTTGACTGTCCGGGCCTTCATAGGCATTTTCCATCAACAGTTTCTTTAGTTTCTTTAACCTAGGTCTACATCTTCTCAACTCCCAATAATTATTGGAAAAACCAAAGATCTGGAAATCACAGAGAGAGAATCTTCCTAATATCATTGTAAGAAAATCTATATAAAATTTCAACTGACCCATCCACAAGAAAAGGGACACAAGTTGTTTTTTTTTTGGGGGGGGGGGGTCACACCCGTCGATGCACAGGGGTTACTCCTGGCTTTGCACTCAAGAATTACTCCGGGCAGTGCTCAGGGGACCATATGGGATACTGGGAATCGAACTCGGGTCAGTCACATGTAAGGCAAACGCCCTACCCGCTGTGCTTTTGGTCCAACCCCGGACAAAAGTATTTCATAGAGTGATTCTATTGTGATTTGTCAGGAAGGCAGCCAGCCAGCATCTCAAGCAGACAGCTGAGTGTCTGCAGGAAACAATGTTCAAACCCCAGTGAAAAAGAGCCTGTCTACTCAGTGAGAACCAATAGCTGAGGTCCCTGGTCTCAAGTATACTCTGGATACTAGAATATCTCCAGAAGGAAGTTGAGGATGACTGTGTAAACTAGGCAGGAATAATTTTAAAAATATATTCAGGCTAAAAAAAAAAATCGAGACAGTCTCAGTCTCTAAATAATCATGGGAAAGGGTGAGAGATAGTCCAGGAGGAGGTAAGGCCTTGCATGGGCTGAGACTGCGACTCCACCGTATGCCACCAGGGGCCACTCCTGAGTACAGGGCTAAGAGGAGCCCCTGAGTACTGCCAAGGTCCCCCCAAAACACCAAAATAAATCAATAATAAAAGTATAGGGAAGGGAAGAGACCGTACCCTCATTCTGTGTGGTTTAGTCAAAATTAATCATTGGGGAGACAGAGTGATAGTACAGCAGGTGGGGTGTTTGCCTTGCACACAGCTGACCTGGGTCCCATCCTCAGCATCTCAGATGGTCCCCCAAGAACTGCCAGGAGTGATTCCTGAGTACAAAACAACACCTTCCTTCCCTCCCCCCCCCAAAAAAATATTCATCATTAGGGACCAGAAAGATAATTCAAAATACTGAGTACTAGCTGGTACAGGGTTCAATTCCAAACATAACTCGATCCCTGGGGCACTGCCAGGACTGAAGCCCAAGCACAAAGCAATGAACAGTCCCTGAACACTGCTGGGTGCGATTCCAAAACACAAACAAAAGCAAGCATCAGAGAGAGAGCATTCTATTCAATGCAACAACTTCCCATTCTTAAGAATCACACCTAGTTCCTTAATGGAACATGTGAAAGAGTGAGAGACCTCATCCAAAGAAATCCAGTCGGCAGAGGCCATTTGATAGAAAAATAGCTATCCAGTATAGGTAGGGAAAAATAGCCTAATGGTTCCGGGACTAGCAAGGTGACCAGCACTAGCACAGAGCTGGTGTCTGGTAAGTGTTCAGTGGAGAAAGTAAAAGGGCCCTGAGGATCATCGTTGCCTGCCTTCAAACTCTAAGATGGAAGTCAAAGGATGGCCAGAGCCCTGAAGGAACAGCAGTGAATCTAAAGCCCACAGAACTGTGCTTTAAAGACCAATCAAGAGGCGTGCTGAAAGTAGATAAAGGACCAAATGTGATAACCTCTTAGTATCTGTATTGCAGACCATGATGCCCCAACGTTGAGAGAGAGTATGGGAGAAGTTGTCTGCCATGGAGGCAGGGGGAGGGTTAGAAAGGGGGGTGGGGATACCGGAGACACTGGTGGTGGAAAATGTGCACTGGTGGAGGGATGGGTGTTTGATCATTGTATGACTGGAATTCAAACACGAAAGCTTGTAACTGTGTCTCAGTGATTTAATTTAAAAAAAAAAAAAGACCAATCCAGGTTGCTGACACTGTCCAGAGCTCACCAACTGGCCGCTTCCAACATACCAATGTAGGTGTGTTCATCAGTGCTTGAGAAAAGAGAGATTTAGGATAGCGTTTAAGTAAATTGCCAGATAGTGTTGGGGAAAACAATATCAGATGTGGCTCCAAAATCTAAAGTTTGAATTTTAGTTGGGGGAAAAAAGAAATCAGAAGTCGCGGCAATGCTGGATTTAGGCTGCACAGAGCAGGTGGTGCTCAGCCACTTGCTTGGCGCACATGGCTCTGCAATGGGCCAGAGGCTCTACCATTTCTTATTACTCCCGTGACACGCCCACTACCCTAATCCATGTCATCTGCTTGGCATATGTGCATCCCTTACCAGCAATGCGATGCATGCACAGTGCAATCACAGATGAAGCGGATCAGTAGGCTCCCTTAGGCTTAACTCAGAATTTCCATAGCAAGAACTCAAAGGATACATAGGTACTGTTAAATTAATGGGTACGTGGGGGCTGGAGCGATAGCACAGCGGGTAGGGTGTTTGCCTTGCACGCAGCCAACATGGCCCACCTGGGTTCAATTCCCAGCGTCCCATATGGTCCCCCGAGCACCGCCAGGAGTAGTTCCTGAGTGCATGAGCCAGGAGTAACCCCTGAGCATCGCCGGGTGTGACCCAAAAAGCAAAAAAAATAAATAAATAAAAATTAATTGGCACGTGATGAGAAAATAGTATCTTTACAAAGATAACATCTTCTGCTGAAAATATTTCTGGTTAATTAAACCAGAGACTAAAGAGTCCTATAAAAATTAAAATATTTATTGAAAATTTTTTTACCATTTTTTTTTTCTGCTACAGTACCATATGATTCACTAATATTTCTGGAGTATTTTTCTTGTTTTTGGCCTTTGGGGAAAGTGTGACATTGCTAAGGGATAATTAGCAGGGGTTGCTCCTGGTGGTTCCTAGGGACCCAGATGACAGCAGGGACAGTCTGTACCTCCTGCATGCAAAGCATGTCCTCCCCACACTGAGTTATCTTTTGGGCCACATGCTTTCTTGAGGGGATGCAGGGTGCTGGCTTTTGGTCACTGCTGGTGGTGCTTAGGACTTACTCCTTGCACTATGCTCATCTCATTCCTGCTTCTACTTCTGTGCTCAGGGATCACTCCTTTAAGTGTTTGGAGGACTATAGGGGCTGCTGGGGATAGAACCTGGGTTGGCTGAGTGCAAGGCAAGCACGTTACCCACTGTACAATCACTCCATCGGTCATGTCTCTTTTACTCTCTTTTTTCCTTCTTTCAATTCCACTTCTGTATATCATAAAAAGCATTAAGGGCAACAAAGTGAGTATTATATATGTAACTACCTGAAACAGAGACTTCTATTTGGTTACCTGCCATCAGCACTCTCTAAAATCCTTTAGAATTTGTTCTAGTTTTCACTGGCAATAAACCAATCTGACTGTAAACCTGAGAAACACATCTCCCTCAAACACTCAAATCTGTTCACATCTCCCTCAAACACTCAAATCTGTTCATCTCTCTACCACAGAAAGACCACCAAATGTGCCAATTACAATTTGGAGGTATCTCCTTTTAAAACATATTCATAGCAAAATGCCTTAAAAATAAATCTTTCAAGTTAGTCACGTAACAGCAAATAATTAAGCGAAGCCATGGAGTCAGAAAGATAATATAGCAGGTAAGGCTGCTTACTTATCTTACACACGGCTAACCCAGGCTTGATCTCTGGCACCTCAGATGGTCCCCTGAGCCCCACCAAGAGTGATCGCTGAGCACAGAGCCAGGAGTAAGCCCTGAGCACAGCCAGGTATGTGCCAAAAACAAAACAAACAAGTGAAGAACTGCCTCCTCCCAATTTGAGGGTGCGTGTGTTAATTTCTTTCACTCCAAGCCTCCCTCTTCCCTTTCACATCTCCTAAATAAAAACCTCCTGTTTTACTCGAAAAGAAAGAGAGAAAATGTTTGATTATGGCTTAAAAATCAAATTAGAGGCCAAAGAGAGAGAGAGAGAGAGAGAGAGAGAGAGAGAGAGAGAGAGAGAGAGCTATTATTATCACAATAATAGTTGGAAATGATCACTTTGGACAGGAACTGAGTGTTGAAAGTAGATAAAGGGATATACATGGTAACCTTTCAGTATCTGTATTGCAAACCATAATGTCCAAAAGGAAGGAGGGGTGAAGAGGGGAGAGGAGAGCGAGGGAGAGAGAAATGCCTGCCATAGAGGTGGGGGTAGGGGGAGCAGAGGCTAACTGGGGGACACTGGTGGTGGCAAATGTACACTGGGGACGGGCGTTATAACATTATATGACTGATACCCAATCGTGAACAACCTTGAAACTGTGTATCTCACTGTAATGCAGTTTAAAATACATATATATTTTTTAAAAAAATTAATGAAATGAGATAAAGTGGGTAAATCAGAAAAAAAATTAAATTAGGAATATGAAGTCAACGTCACAAGAATCCACATGAATGAAACATAAAGGTTTCTCAAGTCCCATTAGAGAAGTTTTTCAATTGTCCATGATATATACTCTAGGGAACTGTTTGTTTTGGTATGGGGGACACATAGGGCAGTGTTCAGGGCTGACTCGGGCAATGCTTGGGGGGGGGCCAGATGTGGGATCAGGAATCAATCCTGGCTCAGCCACACGCAAGGCAAGCACCCTACCCCCATACTACTTCTCTGGCCCCAAACCTGAAGTTCAGAGCTAAAGACAAGATTAGCACACGTATTGTTCTTCTCACAGTGAAGCAGCGCAGGACTCAGGATCGTACCTCAGCGTGAACAATGTCTCTGGGGGTGCTTTCCATCTTCAGCTGTTCAGGTGTTTTACAACCAGGAATGAAAAGCAACATGTTGGAAGTGTCTGCTATTTTCAAGTCATAGGTTTTGTCTTTACTGCACAAGACAGCCTGCTCGTCCTTATCCCCACGAATCACCAGACTGCAGGAAGGCGAGAAGAAAAAAAAAAAACCCACAAACATTATTAAGACTTAATTATTAATAAGATGTTTAATAATTTTATTAACCATTATTTATTTTAATACGCCTCAAGTAGAGCCCCGGCAACTGAAGACCTCCAGTTCCAGCGAAAGCCATGCTTAAGACCACTCTCCACACGTTCGGACGAGCCTCACGCATGAAGGAACCAGCAGAGGAACCCAGGCGTGCGGGACGCGGGGCGTAGATCTCCAAGTCTGCTCTGATTGGGACTGGACCTCCTCCACCCAGATCCCCCATCTTTCAGTAGGCAGACGTCACACCCACCAACTGCCCTCACGCCTGGCTGTCCTCACCGGGGCCCCTTGGAGGGGGGCGGGTTGAGTTTTCCTCCCCGTCCCAAGCAGAGTCCCTGCAGCCAAAGACCTCCAGAACCAGCCACAGCCATGCTGAGACCACTCTCCATATGCATGAAGGAACCCAGGCATGTGGGTCCCAGGGCTGAGATCTCCAAGCCTGCTCAGATTGGGACTGGGCCTCCTCCACCCAGATCCCCCATCTTCCAGTAGGTAGGCGTCACACCCACCAACTGTCCCCAGGGCCATGTAATCCCATCAGTGGCCAAGACCCAGAGACTATAAAACCCAGCTCCCGGAAGACATCTTATTATCTAGTTCTTATTCTGGAGAACCCGGCAGGCTACCGAAAGCATCCTGCCCACACGACAGAGTTTGGCAAACTCCCCGTAGTGTACTCGATATGCCAAAAACCAGTAACAATGATGGGTCTCATTCTCCTGACCCTGAGAGCGCCTTGAATATGGCACTTTCTAAAATCTCAAGGGCTAGGACAAAGGAGACGTTACTGGTGCCAGCTCGAGGAAATCGACGAACAACAGGATGATTGTGATTGTGATTGTGATTCATTGTAATTCTTCATTATAGTATTTATTATCAATTAATGCTTTACTGGTTGATGTTTATTATCATTTATTATTTTAATTATTAATCACCAATAACACCATTATTAACCAGGCTTACTGGCAGTCTTATTATGACTGTGATGGGCCTCTCTCAGCAGCTACAAAATCCTGACCTGGATGAAGTTGAAAGGCCTGAAACTGCCTGCCGCCAGCTCTCAGGCCCTGCACCGAGGGCTCGATGGGCAGAGTGCCAGCCTCAGGCACTGCAACCCAGGGCGTCAGATGAAAAAACAATTAGACATGGGTGAGCAAGACCCAAAGAGGCCAAGAGGCCAAATGCCAACACCTGGCGTCCATGCCGCCTGCAGGGAAGAGCACAAGGCAAAGAATCCAGATGTTTCCATTAAGATGTCATGATTTGGGGGGCCCAAGCGAGAGTACAGTGAGTAAAACACTTGCATAGCGCCCAGTCAACCCAAGTTCGATCCGTGGCAACCCATAGGGTCCCTTGAGCACCGACAGGAGTGATTCCTGAGCACAGAATGGGGAGTAAATCCTGAGCACCACAGAGCAGCCCCCCGCCCCCAAATAGAAAACAAGTCATGTTGTGGACAGAGAAATCAATACAGTGGAGAAAGTGTTTGTCTTGCACTCAGCCAATCCATGTTAGATCCTCTGTGATCGCCATACAGCCCCCCAGCCTCACCAGAAGTGACCCCTGGGCACAACAATAGGAGTAAACCCTGGGCATCCCCAGATATGGCCCAAACAAAACAAACAAAAAAGATGTCATGACTTAGAGGCCAGAGAGGGCGCTTGGCAGGTTAAACACAGGCTGTGCATGCAGGAAGCTCAGTTTGACCCCTAGCACTGCACATGACACCAGAGCACCACCAGGAGTGACCCCCAAAGTACAGGCCCAGGGATGATCCCTGAGCACTGCCAGCTATGGCCCTCTCCCAGTAAAAAAAAAAAAAAGTAAAAATTTTTCCTCCTGTTCCTTTAGAGATATTCTGTGACTAGTTTGCCCAGTGGACCGTAACACTCTGATGGGTAAAGCATGAAAGCTAAAAGACAAATCAAGGGGCTGAAGCGATAGCACAGCAGGTAGGGCGTTTTCCTTGCACACGGCCCACCCCGGTTCAATTCCCAGCAACTCATATGGTCCCCGAGCACCACTAGGAGTAATTCCTGAATAAATGAGCCAGGAGTAACCCCTGAGCATCACTGGATGTGACCCAAAAAGCGAAAAAGAAAAAAAAAGACAAATCAAGAGGTTCAGTTTAAAGGAACTTAGAAGAAACCAAAGACCTAATAAATAATAAGTGTTGGCTTGAAGGACCAGGGCCGAAGAGAATCAGGCCTCTAAGGCTTCATGTCCAGGAGATGCGGCCGCCAATCGAGACTGATGGTCTAGCTAGTCTCAGAGCAAGAGAGCAGGACTTTCCATTAGAAACAGCCGCAGATGCCGCCCGGGAGTGGTGGCAATCAAGTCTGTTTCCTGAACCGTTTCCAACTCACCAGAGTAGTATGACGGCCTTAAACGGATCCCCTCCAGTCCGGCCTGTAGTCTGAATAAAAGGCCAGAAACTCTCCCCAGCTCAGCTATCAACACTGCGTCTGAAGGTCAAGTGCGTCTCCGGGAACTGCATCACGACCAGAGTCCCCCACCTTCACTGAGGTCAGCGGGACCAGTTTCCCCCACCCCCACCCACCCCCACCTCGCCTAACCCCGGGAGAGTTGCAGGGTGCTGGGGGTCAGGTCAGCAACCCCCCCGCCCCCCATCCCTCTGGTTTAATGCATGCACCGTTCCGGCCGGCCCGGCTTCCCGATGCCCACGTTTCCCGGTCCATTCGCTGGGCAGCGGCGGCTCACCTGTGGCCGGCCTCCAGCTGCGGGCAGAGCGCGGGGTCCAGCTCCAGCAGGCAGAAGTCTCCGGCGTCCGCGCCGCGCGCGCTGGCCCCGAAGCGCAGGCAGTGCACGGGCCGCAGCAGCTCGGCCGCGTTCAGCTTGGCGATCTGCAGCGTGGCGTCCACCTCCTCCCGGGTCCTGCTGCTCGGCATCATCGCTCCGCCGGGCCTTCGGGGAAGCAATCCGGCTCGAGAACTCCAGGACCGAGCCCTGCCGGCCTCCGGGAGCCCCGGGAAACACACACACGGAGGCGGGGAGACTTTTGCAAAGCGCGCCCGGCGGCTCGGAGGCGTGTTTCCGGGGCGGGGCGCGCCCGGGGCAGAGCCCGGGAAAATGCACACGCTGCGTGCCCTATCCCGCTCTCCCGACGGCACCCTTCGTCCCAAGCTCGGTGGAGACCAGCTGCGACCCGCGGGTGCCACACAGCGCTGCCACCTACTTTCCCTCCCTCCACCCCTCCCCCACCGCCTGCTTCCAGCCTCTACCCCGAGGCCTCGATGAAAACAGCCCCGCCTTCTGCCTGTGGCGGGTTCTTTTCTTTCTTTCTCTCTTTCTCTCTTTCTCTCTTTCTCTCTTTCTTTCTTTCTTTCTCTCTTTCTTTCTTTCTTTCTTTCTTTCTATTATTTAAAAAATGTTTCTATTGAATCACCTTGAGACAGAGCATTAAAAAATTGTTCATGATTGGGACTCGGTCATACAGTGTTCCAACACCCATCCCTCCACCAGAGTAATTTCCCAGCACCAGTGTCCCCAGTTTCCCTCCCAAGACCCAGCCTGCCTCTATGGTAGGCATCTCTATTCTCTCTCTCTCTCTCTCTCTCTCTCTCTCTCTCTCTCTCTCTCTCTCTCTCTCTCTCTCTCTCTCCCCCACCCCCACCCCCGCAGGTTCTTTTGGTAAACCTATAATCCAACAAAATCCTTCACCTCCCCGCACGGTACACCCTTGTTTATTTTAATTATTTGCAAATAACGGTGCAACCTTTGGACGCACAGCCTGGAACTGGCAGCTTCCCAGTATTCTAACACCCAGATAGTGTTGCACATAACTGGACCCGAGCTTGGTCCTAGTGGACAGGACGTGGCACTTTGGGGGGGGGGGTACACCTGGCCCTGCACTGAGGAATCACTCCTAGCAGCACTGGGTGCCGGGATGAACCCAGCTCAGCCACCAAGGGAAGCGTCCCTACCTGCTGGGCTATGTACTCTCTCCAGCCCAGGACTTGGCACTTCTTTAGGGTGTGGACAATCATACTGCGGGACAATGGCTTGGACTTAGATCCATCCATTCCTACCACATGGTGGGTTGAGACTCAAACTTTCTGGGGTTCAGAAACCACCTTCTGGGGGGTAGGCAAACTCACTACTGCCTATATACATGTTCATTCAGCTTTCTCTAAGGTGTTATCTGAATTGAACCAAAGAGAAATCCAACTTTTAAAGGAAAAGCTCATTGGCTTTTAAGTATCCCAGAGGAATCACCCACTTCACACTAACACCAACAATAACCTCAAAGTCAGATAGTCCCCATGGGCAAAACAAGTTAGGTCTTTTAAAATATAATCAAGACAAGCAATAATGCACCCAGGAGAGAACAGAAACAGTTTAGGGTCTTTTAGATGCAGAGGGCAATACTGGCAAGAATAGAATAGGAAATTGTTAGGACTCTGCTCTTCATTTTAACCCTTTGCCTCTGATTGGCTGTGTGAAATAGCGTCTGCTCTTAAGTACCTGCTGTTGATGTCGAAGTTAACTGTCTTTAGTGTCTCTAGCAGCTTACAGGTAGGGAGCGATATTGAATTGATTAAATGGCCAGCCTATGAGCTCACTGGTTTAAAGCTTGGAGATCCCTTCTGTTTTTGTCCCTGAAGTGTTTGTTTGTCCCATTCTTGACCAACCAACACTGAATGGAGGTCAGAAGTGCCAATATAATTGACCTTAGACAACTCTACACATTTTTCTTAAACATTTGAGGCTTCCCCAACCATTCTAGTTACAGGGAAAAAATAAAAAGTCCTTTGTTTTGTTTTGGGGTCACACCAGCTCTGCTCAGGGCTTACTCCAGGCTCTGTGCTCAGGGCTCACTCCTGGTGGTGCTTACGGGACTATAAGTGGTACTGGGTTGACTACATGCAAGTGTCCACGTCTTGAATCTTAATTCCCTTGTGTTCACTAAAAAGTCAGAAAAGGGAACTTTGATTTTTTTCAGCAAGACGTGTTTCATCTTACAGGGGGAATAAAGCATGTTTCAATGTTCACACACCTTTTGTTAAACTTTCAAGGTTGTGCTTATGAGAGTTAGATATCTCCCCACTAGATGGCAGTATTGCTTCATGTTTCTCCACAGCTGGCTTTGTTCTATTCTCCACTGCCCTTTATTTTATTTTACTTTTTACCATGAGATACACAGTTACAAAACTGTTCATGATTGAGTTTCAGTCATGCAATTTTCACCCACACGAGCGCGGGCCCTGTACTTTTCCCACCACCAGTGTCCCCAGTTTCCTCCTGCCTCCACCACACCCCCACTTTGTAACCTCTGCAGCAAGCTCTCTCTCTCTGTCTCTGTCTCTGTCTCTGTCTCTGTCTCTCTCTCTCTCCTTTTTTGACATTTGGATTGCAATATTGGTGGTACTGTGTAGGATAAAACTGGTTTGTCCTTTCTGCTTTGCCACAGGGAGCTTAGGTTTATTGGGTTACTCCCATCACAGTGCTCCCACTCCTCTGTGTTCACCTGTAACCTCTTTCTTTGTGTTCTGCTTCCCCAACCGGTCAATCACCTTTATCTCCCAATCAGATTCTGTTAACTCATCAATATTGCTTTTCTCTTCTTAAGTCCTTCGCATAGTTAATTCAGAGCAATGTTCTTTTTGTATAGACACATGAAGACAGTTAATGCTATGCTTTTATAATTTAGGAGTTGACTCCGAATAATATTCACTCGGGGGGGGGGAGGGATCTGTTCTCTCTACTTAAGACCTAGTTGCCCTTACTTCCTAGCACCCCAAAAGCAGGGTCCTGACAAGGGCCTGTGTGGATCCATGGCAAGCTGTGAGCTACCTGGCATCGAAATGGGCCAGGCCAAAGCGCCATAATACTTAACTGTAAGTTAAGAGCATGGTCATGGACAAATTCTGTCATGATCCAAAAAGTCACAACTAGATTAGGACCCTGCCAGGAGTAGGAAAGATTAATCTGGCCTGCGCACTGTAGTCTGAGATCTATAGTGAGATGTCCCCAGGAGAGCCACCCTACAAGCTTAATGTGTCTTCTCATTGTTTCCATACAGAACAACTAATATTAAGAAGTAGAATTAAGATGTAGATTAAGATGTTATATTGGACTAAGGAGAAAATAACACTAAGTGGTATTATGCCCTTGAGCAGAGGAAGGACTTTCATATGTTGATTGTGCAACAGCCAAGGTGGGAGTTGGAGAGAGACTAGAGAGAGAGCAAGGCAGCTAGTCTGCACAAGGAGAGATGAGCACAGAGAGATGAGCGGGAGAGACAGGAGGAGACAGGAATGAGGGCCAGTGTGAGACCAGAATGGGGAGCTTAGTGAGATTGGAATCGGTGCGTAGGGAGAATGGAATAAATGGCAACTGATCACCAACCAGATTGGCCCTCGTTTCCTCCTTCATCCACCCATGGCATCGGTCACCCCGGGTAGGGAAATGGTTTGAGACCACCAAATGCAGGTGGTGAGAGAGAGCCGCAGGAGTTTTCCTAGTCGCCTGGTGATTACACAGTACTGAAAGATTATCATATGTATCACTTTACCTCTTTCCAGCACACAATTCTTGTCCAGAGTGATCATTTCCAACCATCATTGTCATAGTGGTCCCTTCTCTGTCCTAACTGCCCTCCCCCCACCCCCACTCGTGGAAACCCTCTGAGTTTGGATTAATCCTCTTTCTCTTGGCCCTCCTTTTTACTGTCCTTGGATATTAGTCTCATACTATGTGTGTGTATGTATATATATATACACGCACACACATATATATTTATACATAATGTCCTCCAAATGGGTGCAATCATATTATTTCTGTTTCTTTCTTTCTAACTCATTTCACTCAGCATGATACTCTTCATGTCCATCCATTTATGACTTCAAATTTCATGTCTTAATTTTTCCTGGTGACTGCATAATATTCCACTTTGTAGATGTACCATAGTTTCTTTATCCAGTCATATGTTCTCGGGTTTTGTCCAGATTCTGGCTATTGTGAATAGTGCTGCAATGAACATAGAAGTGCAGATGGCTTTTCGGCTGTGTGTTTTGGGATCCCTAAGTCTTCACTACCCTTTGAAAGGTAGATCTACTAATACTTCTTGAGCCAAGCAGTGAATGGAGTACCCATATAAATAATCCCTGACAATTCCTGCAATGTGTGAGTCAGAACACATTCAAAATCCTCCAATGAATTCTCCTGTCCATCAGCATGAAAACCAAAGTCCTAATCAGAGCCTCTGAGGTTTCATACCAAAAGTCTCTATTACTGCCTCCAAACCTTGAAACTTTATTCATAGCACACACTTCTACTTTGGGGATTCTTTGTTTTAAACTTTACTGGGCCCGAGGAAGAACTGGAAGGGCTGAGAATGAGCTTATGGGCAAGAGACCTTGGTGTGAGCCACCTGCATGATCCCCCAAGTACTGCTGGGAGTGACCCCTGAGCATAGAGTCAGGAGTAGCTCCTGAGCACCTAGCACCCCTTGCCCCACGCAAAAAAAAAAAAGAGAGAGAGAGATAAAATAAACCTATTCAGGTGTAAGCTAAATTAACCAAACTGCACTTGTTCTGGTAAGTGCATAATCTGATATACAGGTAAAACTATGACCACAGTGAAATGTAGAATGCTCTTCTCATTACCTCCAAATATCTTCTTATGTCCCCTTAGAAAAAGAAAGAGGGCCAGAGTGATGGTACAGTGGGTAAGGTGTTTCCTGTGGCCAACCTGGGTTCAATCCCTTATGTCCCAAATGGTCCCCTGAGCACCACCAGGAGAATCCTGAATGCAGAGTCAGGAGTAACCCGTGAGTATTGCAGGTGTGACCCAAAACCAAAAAGAAGAAAAAGGAAAAACAAAGAGAAGCAATATTTTCCAATATTAACTTCTACATTGGGTTTTATTTCCTCTTCCTTCATTGGCTTCTTATTATTGGTTTTAGGCCTTTCTTCTTTCAAATATAGATTCATAAAACTATTTATTTACCTATAAACCTAC